TATATATATATATATATATATTTTACATTATAGTTGTGGAAGATTATGGGACTTCGTAAGACTACATTATAAAGAATTTGACAGTCTGTATGATGTAACTTCAAATCACATATATATAAATAAAGATGTCAATGGAGAGATCAGCAGCAATGAAAATATTTATGAACTAAATAAAGCGGATATAGTTATAGAAAACAATAAAGTACGAGGAAATCGTCGATGCACGATAGATGATCAAAGTGATATCTATATGGAAATGCCTACTATACAATTATTAGAAAAATCACAAGAATTATTACAATCTGTTAATGCAACATTAAAGAAAAGCAATTCTATTGCAAATCGATTAAATGAGTGTAAGGAATTGAGACATTCAGAAAGTACACCATCGCTGAGTGCAAAGACTGTTACAAAGATCCCTCAGGAATCAGATCTTATGTTATCTAATGTTCATCACAATAAATCACATACTAGTAATACGAAAGTAGATGACATTATTGTTGCAGAGAATCCTTTGACAAAAGGTTTCATAAAGAATAAAGATTTGAAAAGCAATAATTCTTTATTAATGAACAATAACGAAAATTCAAACGAATCAAGAAAAAATTGTGCATCTGTATTAAATGGAAGTTGTGCGACTCGTGAATCATTCAAAAATAATAAAATGGACAATTTATTGCATAACAATTCAAAAACTATTTCAATACAGAATGTCTCGACCAATAATGTATTACAGATCTGTGAGAATAATACTGAAAGTATATCCGATCAAATAAATTCATCAAACATTAATTATAGCATTGATGAGACACAATATACGATTAAAGAAAATAATATAGATGAACAGGAGTTTTGGCAAGTACCGGAAGCTGTAATTCGGTCATGGGCAGCTGAAATTCTTTTAGCTTTAGAAGCACTTCATCAGCAAAATGTCATAATTCTCGATTTCAAACCTGATAATATTCTTCTGGATGACGCAGGACATATCCGGCTTACTTATATTATAGCACAGCACAATGTTGAATTATCTAAACTAATATATCCATATTCCTCACCTGAGTCAGTAATGTTTTCTCCGACCATTCCTGTTACATCCGCTACAGATGTTTGGAGTTTCGGAGTTATTTTATATGAACTACTTACTGGCACTGTATGTAGAAAATTGGACATTAATTATAAAAAAATTATATATCAATACTAAAATTTAACTTTTGTTTCACAGATGTTTATCAGAAATCATCCAGGATCATTTCATTCACATTCCACAATTAACATTCCTAGCAGATTATCGAAAAGTGCAGGATCTTTGTTATGTGGCGTAAGTTTGTGTCATGTTCTGCTGCATTTTTTAATATTAATCTCATGATTTTTAATATTTAAACTCTGTATAATGTTATTTAAAATATAATGTTATAATGTTTATAAAAATTGTGATTGCAGATGTTAAAATATCATCCAGAAGAGCGACTGACAATAGATGAAATAAAGCGTCATCCGTTTTTTGCAAGAACTGATTGGTTAAATATGATTTCTTAAACTTAATGCTTACTAGGGAATTCATAAATTTTATACTTATAATAATTGTACAAATATTTATTATGTAGCGGAGATACAATCTTATTTTGTAGATGAACAAAACGATATAAAAATAGTTTCTTAATAGTTACTTAAATATAATAATTATAAACAATAATTAGCACTGAGTTTGTTAAAATTTATTATGTACAATTATTTAGATCTTACTTTTTCACTTCTACTTATTGTTGACATACCATCAATAAATCTAGTTGTAAATAAAACATTGGCATTGTTAAACATACCATTCTTTAAGGATACAATAATAAATTGTGAATGTTTAAAATGTCTCTTTAACATTATACCTATATTTTCTGTATGTGAAAGATCTAAGGCAGCGTCTACTTCGTCCAAGATATAAAGCGGTGCAGGTTTATAAAGAAGCATAGCTAAGACTAATGACAAAGCAACTAGGGATCTTTGACCACCAGATAATTCTCCTAATGACTCTTTCCAAACACCCGAAAATCCAACTTTCACTTCTAAACCGTCTGTTATTGTTTCATTTTCTGGTGGTTGTAATTTAGCTTCGGCTCCCGGTAATAAAGTACTAAATATAGAACCAAAATCTTTGTTTACCTAATGAAATACAAAATTTATATATTTTAGACATTGTGGATTTATATATTGTAATTGTAATATTTTTATTTAAGTATAAATAAATTTGTTTATATAAATGCATTAGATTAAAATATAATTTAATATATAATTTACCATATAAAATAAACATATATAAAACGTTCAAGTTTAAACTATTAGATTTTTTGAATATATGGTTTGACATAATGGAACAAATTTCTCAAAGAATTGTACCTGTTTCCAAGCTTTAAGCAAGGTTTGTTTCTTCTTTTCATCCAAAGTCTTAATTGTCTCAAGAATTTTATTCTTATCATTCTCGACTATTCTTTTCTTTTTTAGTGTATCATTATATTGTTCTTCTTCTTTATCGAGAAGATTGATTGCTCGCGTATTTATATTACGACTTAACTTTTCACGCATTGCTTCTAAATTACGTACTTTTTGTTCCATTTCTTCTGGTTTGTTAACTTCAAAATCATATATACCACCTAAAAGTAACATGACATATACTATATTTGTATATCAATATAAGTTAATTAAACAACATTTATCTTTATAAATACCTTTTTTTCTAAAATAAGGTTTCTCTTGCTCAATCCACTCGTATTTCCTTGTGAGTTCCAAAACTTTCTGCTTACATTCTGCTGCACCTTTTTTGATATCATTAATTTCGTGATTCAATTTTTTTATATCCAATTCTAGATCTTTATTTTGTTTAATAATATCTTCTTTTCTTCCTATTAACCTTTGTATATTTTTGTTTTGTTCAGCAATAATATCTTTCTGCTTCTTAATATTATTTTGTAATTCTGTAACTTTATCTTTAGTTTCTTGCAATTGCTGCTGAAGAGTTTCTCCTTTTTCTTCAAACATATTGTTTTTTTCATTTACTTGAAGCAATTGTTCATCACCATTTTCAATACTTTTCTTTAATTCCTTTATTTCTAATTCAAGTGTTTCTGACTCTTGTTCTCTCTTTTGCCATTCTTTGCGACTTTGTTCCGATTTTTTCTTTAAGACATTTAATTGGTTCTCAGCTTCCTTTAATTGTTTCTCACGAATATTTACTGCATCCTTTAACTGAATTTCTATGTCTTTGGCACGTTTTGTGCTTTCCTTTTCTAAATTCTTTGCTGCAGCCATTCGTTCTGTAAGCTCTTCAATAGCTGCATTCAGAGAAGCTACCTGAACATAAATATAAACATATATATACATCCTAACGTTATTTATCATCATTTTGACGTTAGTTTTATGTTGAAATAGTCATTTTGATGTTAAAATAATAATTAATAAAGGCAATTTGTTTCCTGGGATTGTACATGGAAAAAAAACAAGCTTAGAGCTAGGCAACTAATTTATCTACATAAAGTAAAAATTTTTTGCTTATTTTCTATATTTACATTTAAACATAATTATTAATGCATATGTATGTGTATATGTACATACATGACACATAAAATGTTTACAGATTACATGTATATGTGTACCTCTTCCTTGATTTTATGATAACTTGTTTGTTGCAATCTCTGTTGTATCATACTGATTTCATAAGTTAATAGATCATATTTTTGTTTCAACGATGCATATTTTTCTGCAGTTTTTGCAACATTTGATAAAGCATTTTCTACGTCTCTTAAGAGTGTTTTTTTGTGATTTAATTCATTCTTAATTGCTTTCATTTCTTCCAGTTTTAATAAAACTGATCCAGCTTTCGCTGGGGCACCGCCAGATAACGTACCAACTGGATCAAAAAGATCACCTTCCAAAGTAACGCATTTTTTCATAATTCTTTCATGGAAAGCTATTTTCTTGGCAGTTTCCATGTCTTTGCATACAAATATTTGACCAAATATCCAGATCATTGCTGGCCTAACTTCATTTGGAAAATCTATAAGAGACAAAGCGGGTTGAACATTTTCTTTTCCAACCAATTTTTCTGCCCAATTAATCGTTGATTGTTCCATAAATTTACCAGCCACTCGATTGAGTGGGATAATCGTAACTCGTTGTTGTAATTGTCCATATTGGAGAAGCTTTTTGCTTGTTTTTTCAGTGTCAACTACTACATTATAAAGCTGAAACATAATTATATGCATGAAATAAAGATTATTTTAAAAAAATATATAAATTTTGAAAAATGTTTATATATATTAGGTGTTGGAATTAATTCGTAGCGTTTTACAAGTGATGGGAAGTACTTTCATTAATGTATTTTTTAATGCTCATGTGAAATAAATAACATTCTTTCATTAAAAAGGCATACGCAGTCCTTTTATCCTTTAAATCAATTAAGTTACATACGATACCTTTTACAGATTTTGTATTGAAATTAGGTTCAGGATTTTGATACTGAAACCTCGTTCGAGGATGTCTCATTTCAAATTGATCTAGTTTCTCATGCAATGGTTTCATTTCTTCAATCAATTTAGTTTTTTGATTGATTAAATCTTCGGAATAACCATTCTTATAATTCAATTTTTGCAATTCATTCTCCAAGGCCTTTAATTCTTTTTCTTTCTTTTCCAAGTCCACATGATATTTTTTATATTCATTCTCAGTACTATGCATGTCTTTTTGTTTTTTATTCAACTGTTGCCTGTTGTGATTTAGTGTCATCTCACATTGTTTAAGTTCGGTTTGTGCTTGCGTTGCACTTTGCTTGGCATTTATTAATTGTTGTTCTAAGGTTGCATTTTCACCATCTTCACTCTCCAATAGACCTGCACTGATCTTCTGATACTTTTCTTGTGCCTCTAATACTGCTTCGGTATCTTTTTGGCACATTTCTTTCAAATTCTGAAAAACTCCTCCAACTTTCTCCAATTCTTGTTCTTTTAAAATAAGTGCATTTTTATCATCTGATATATTAGTCTTTATGTGCTCCATTGTTTTTTTCACAGCCTTAATATTTTCCTTATTACTGTTTACTTCAGCTGATAATTTGCATCGCTTTTTCTCTTGTTCCTGTAGATCCTGTTCTAAGGCTTCCAGCATAGTCCCTTTTCCCTGTGTTAAAAAATTATTAAAAGTTAATGACAATGTATTTTTTTATATGTATTTAACATTATTCATGCTAAATTTAATACTTATTATTGGAGATTATATTATTATATATATAAATATTGATATAAATAAAAATTTAATATAATTAAAATCATGTACAATATATATCAATAAAGTTCTAGACTAGATGTATCTTTTTAATTTTAAGAATTATATTGTAAGAATATTTTGTGGATATTATATACAGGGTGGGCCATCTATTGGTACGTTTTTAAAAATGCGATCAAATGAGCATACATTGATATTTTTTATTAATTTTTTTTTTTTTTGGAAGCTAAAAGGTTCCGCGTTCAGAAAGAAAAACGGTTTCGTTCATTTTCATGTGGCTCCCTCTACTGGCCTTACAGTATGCCATTCGGTCACCCCAATTATTAATGACATTTTGGACTACCTCGGCGCCAATTTCACTCAAAACAGTCGTAATATAATGTCATCCACTAACATCCCTTTCTCACGAACTTTCCTCACCAATTTGCGTATAGCTCCTTCGGTGGGTGCTCTATCACGACCCATATTTCTTTTCAAAATTCGTACAGTTTCGGCGACACAGCACTGATTTTGAAAATAAGTTTTTAAAATTTCAAAACGCTCTTCAAGAGAAAACATGTTGTTTCGTGCCGCGGACGGTATGACTAATAAACTGTCAAAATTTCGGGTCTGTAGCTCGTTCGGTGTTGCCATACGACGAAATTCAAAAACGTACCAATAGATGGCCCACCCTGTACATTTATATACTTATACAATATGAATATTTGTTTATAATAATTTAGCTCGCAAGGTAAAATTTGTACAGGTTTGTAATATTGGATCATCTAAAAAGTATCCGCGGTTTTTTGTCACTAGATGGTGTTGATAGTCAACCCATCTGACCCAATACAATCAAAAATAACAAATACAAAAAAATCATACCGTTTCCTTTTTCTTTATTAATTCATCATATTTGACTTCTAGGTCCTTGATTTCTTCCTCACCAGCAGCTATGTCTTCTAACTTCGAATCTATTTTGTTTTGTACAATTTTAACATTTTCTTCCATTTTTTGACTATTATTGAAAGTAGTAACATATTTCCAAGCAAGATGAATTCGTTTGCAGTGTTCAAGTTCTCTTTCTATTCCCTGAAATTCTACATATCTTGTTCTTTCTTCTTTTAACTTGTTTAACTTTGGACCTATTTCTTCTCTCAAAATCTAAAAAATATATAACAAATAAATATGAGAGACTGAAGATATCAATTTGTCAAATGGTATATAGCATACAGTATTACAACATACAGTATTAATTTCTTTTAATTTACTATCCTTTTTTTCTATCGTGATTAGTGCCGATTGTTTCTTTTTTTCATACATTTTTGTTCCTGCTGCTTCTTCGAGCATAGACAGAATTTCTACTGGCTTCATATTCAACACTTTTGTTATTCTACCTTGCATAATTAAAAAATGTGGATTATTCACATTTAATTGGACAGAACAGAACAAATCCTGTACGCGTTTATTCGGTGCATTTGTCCCATTGATCATGTATTTATTTTTACCACCGATCACTACTTGTCTTGTAATCACAATTTCTTCATGTTGTTCATAACCCATAGGAGATATCTCAGTGTCACGATTATCAAAAGTTATTGTAACACTAGCTTTCTTTATTCCTGCTTGGCCTGATTTGTAGACTAAATCTTGTAAAGAAGTAGCACGTACCTATATTAAATTAAAATAATATTGTTAGCAATATAATTTAGTAAATAAATCATGCAATTTAACAACTATCATTATCATGTGTAAATTAAATAGAAATAATTTTAGTTTAAAATTCAATAAAAAGAATAACGGTTCAAATAATTAAATAAATTAAATAATATAATATAGGGCTACGAACTACTCAAATTATTTTGTGAATAAAACTATTTTTATCAACAATCTAAATTTTGTACAGACGTATCACATGTTATCGCTTTTTATATTTTAATTTGTAAACATCTTATGTAGCTACCGGTAACATTTTTTAATTTATTATTTAACATTGAAAATGATCCAATAAGGGTTGAAACGTCTGTATAAAATTTAGATTGTTGATAAAAATAGTTTTATTCACATAATAACCTGAGTGATTCATATAGCCCTATATTATATAATATTATTTAATTTTAGTTTAATTATTTAACATATATATATATATATATATATATACAAATATTGATAAATAATACACAAAAAGTCTATGTTATATATTATAATAAAATTATGATTTTAAATAATTACAATTTAAATATAATTTTTAAAAACAATATTACATTACAAGAGAACAAGGCTATGTTCGAACATCGTGCAATGCTATGATAAATATCTCACAAAGTGTAAAATAAATGTATGCAACAAATGAATGAAATTTACCTGACCAAGATTCGTAATGCCCAAAACAAAGCATATAGCATCCAAAATGTTTGATTTTCCACTACCATTAAATCCTGTTATAGCGTTGAATTCCTTATCAAAACCATTTATTTCGATTCTTTTGCCGTAGGATTTAAATCCTTCTAATACAATCGATTTAATATACATGTTTAATCAATAATAAAATATTACGTTACGATATATTGGATTCGTTTCAACACACAACGGTCCCTCGAAATTCATTCAAACACTTCAAACTAGAGTCTTATATATAAAGAGTTCCGACATCGAACCGCCACCACCAAATTGGATCCCTACCATCATTCCTGCGCCGCCATATTTGGACCGCTCCAGTGTCTTCCGAACACAGCCTGTGCTGAGTTCAGATTCCCACTCGAGTGTTCAGGTATCACTCCATTCTTGTCGTTTGTTGTACATTAGACAAGGATGACATGATACCTGAGGAGCATCCAGGAATCTGAACACGCTAGACATCTGAACGCTAGAAAGATTACATGAGATGCATTCAGATGTATTCCGTTTCACACATGAAGGTGCTTTTTTCATACTAACACCCGATGCTATTTTTAGCGTCAAAATGTTAAAACAGATCACGTGAACATAATTGACGCTTGATATTTATTAATTTTTATCATGCGATCTATTTGGACGTAAATAAAAAAATGAGTGTCGAGCGAGTCGAGTCGAGCGTCAGCATGAAAAGGCACCTTTAAAATTTCATTGTAGACGCCGCTTTATAGCTGCAAAGCTGCTAATGTTCGTAATGTGCGTAGTATAACTGGTCAATGCCAATGGTGTAATACCTTTTGTTCATAATTAGTGACACTCGATATCGATGTATGATTTGCTATAAAAAAGATTAACGTCCTGTATTTCTGAAATTCATTTGTTTCAATTCATCTTGGAAAAAAAACAGTGGAAAGAAGATAAAACGGCAACAGCATGACTGACACTAGCCAATGTAAAGTCAATCAGAGTTACCGTTTTAAATGGAACAATTATCAAAATCATCTGTCTAACGTTGTGCGACAGCTTTTGAAGGAGGATTGTATGGTGGATGTCACTCTATCCGCAGATGGTCAACGTATTCATGCGCATCGCATTGTATTATGCGCGTGTAGTATTTTGTTTCAAGTAAATAATTTCTTTCAACGACATTTTTATGCCTGTTCTTTTATGACTGAACTTTTGCGCCAGTGCATCTTTCTTCTTCCTCTTCTTTCCTTCTGAAGAGAAAAGGAAGAAGGACGAACTGGCGAAAAAGTTCAGCTAAAAAAAACAAGCCTTTTGTAATATATATAAAATAATTCCACAGGGTTCAGAAAATTTCACAATTAAGCGACTGAAAATATAATTGTACATATATTGTGCTTTAGTAGCAATAATAACTACTATCTTTGTTGAAACAATGTTCTCTTGAAAATTTGTTCAATTTCTTATGTTATTGTTATTATTTTATATGAGAACTGTATTGAGAAAAATGTAATGTAATAATGTTTTGTTCTTTGTAATGTTTATATATAAAATAACTTGCGTAATATTATAATTTATGTAATATTATAAAGTATATTATTGACAAATTTATTAATAATTATTGTATAATATAACTGTTTGTATCACAATAATTATGAAATTAATGTTATATGTATATAATATGTTCTATAATTCTCATAGGAAGTGCTAAGTCAAGTAACAGAAGATTATCCAACGATTATTCTAAGTGATATATCTCCTCAGGATATAAAGTCGATTATCGAATTTATATATCATGGAGAAATTTGTGTTCCTGTTGAAAATATCAGTAGCTTACTTGAAGCTGCACGGTCGTTAAAAATAAATGGTCTTATTAACGTTAGTATCAAATTAGTTAATTAGATTTTTTTTATTACAATTTATCAAGTTTTTTGTTTAACTTGTTATAGAATTTTATATTTAGTTTGGAATTTATAATCATATTTTATATTTTCAACAGATAGATGGAGTTTATGAAAATGAAATTAAAGGAAAAAAAGATCAAGCAATGGAAGAAACTGTGTCAAGGGTAGAGGAAATTCAGGACAATGCTGAATCTTTGGAGAATGAAACTCATGTACCAAGCACTGCTGAAAATTGTATTTCAAATAAAAAGAAGAAACGACGTCGTGACACTGTAAAGAGAGAATACAGTGACGATATGTTAGCATCTGCAATTAATGATTTGAAATTAGGACAAACTTTAATAGAAGCTGCTACTAAGCATAATATACCACGTTCGACATTGTATATGCGGGCAAAAGCGTTAGGCATACATTTAAATGCATCAAGGAATGGATATCCTGCAGAATGCATGAATGCAGCTATAAACTCTGTGATCAGTTAGTATTTTTCTTATACTTGGTTTATTCTTCCTTTAGAATAAGTAATTTTGTGTATTTTACATTAGATTATTCTAGTATGCAATATATGTCTGCAATTATTTAATAATTATATTTAATTATGCTAACTTTAGATGGTTCGAGCTTGCAGCGTGCATCAGAAATATTTAGAATACCTAAAACTGTATTATGGAGACGTATACAAAAGGAAGGCTATCAGATCTTACGTCGTCAAATGAAAAGATCATATGCTTTAGACACGAAAGAGGCCGCTGTTAAAGCTTTAGAAAGAGGAGAAAATTTGACAAAAGTTGCTCTGGAGTTTAAAGTAAATTTTATTATTGCAATTTTATTATTACAATTTTGTTTATTACTTTTGAATGTATTTTGTCATAAACAGATTTAACAGTTAATTGAATGTAATCTATGATGTCAATGATGTTTAGATACCAAAGACTACATTGTTTAGAGAAAAGGCACGGCTAGTAAATCAAGGTAAATTACCGTTATCGTTTTGGAAGAAACGCAAACCTGAGAATGAGGAATCAAAGAAGTCGCGATTAGAAGAGGCTGTAGCGGCTTGCAAAGGTGGCAGAATGTCGCAGGCTGCAGCGTCCATAATGTATCACATTCCAAAAACTACGATATGGCGAAAACTTCAACAAGATGGAAAAAAAGTGGAAAAATCATCGAATGTGAAAAAGGAACGACTAACTGATACACCAGTACTGCATGACTCTCAGGTGAAAATACAAGACACGTCCAATTTCAATTATTGCGAGGTAATACACTTGAATTATTAAGTTCCTTCAATATAATTTCATTGCTAATGGATTTGTGATATGCATAGGTTGCATCAGAAATACCTATAACTTATATAGACGAGGATAGTATACCTCAGGATTCCGTCATAATCCTAACAACAGAAGAAATGGATGAGTTAAACTTGGAAGGAGGCAGACAAATTATTGTAAATTCGGTATGTCCTGTATGAAGAATTTGTGATAATTTTTACAAATTTAAATAGCGGATTGATTAAATTTGTCTTCATTATTATAATCCATCTTTATTTTTCTTCAGGAGTCCGGACAGGAATATATTCCATGTACAATAAGTATCGAGAATAATTCTAACTATTCTGAGACTGAGAGTTAGCGTCAGAAATTTAAGTAATGAAAAGCTAATTGAATAGGGATGGGTAATACAGAAAAAAATGTTGATATTTCGTATCGCATATAATATATTGTAAATAGAAATATTGATATATCAAAATGTAGAATTGATAATTTGCGACATTGCTGATATCGATATGGATCTGATATTTTTAATACACGCACCAATGCGTATCGATGCACACAAAAATCGATCTTTTGCATCGAAAGTTCGATATTGCTGTTCAAATGTCGATATATTGAAACATGTGTTTATGATCTATAGGCATATCAAGCTGGAGTTAGGGTAAGAGATTTCAGTATTTCAGGTGTTAGAAATTCCGAATGCGGTGTGCATGTTCTTTTTTTTTGCGATTCACTTTTTGCCTTCGCCTTTCGCTTTCTTGTTTATCACAATTATCACAAAATAAAGAGTCATTGCAAAACAGTCGTGTCTCCTTATTGTGCATTAGAAGAGAAAGTACTAAGGGCACGCTTTCAAAAAGTATTTAAACAACAATTTTAATATCGAAATATATCGATATTTAAAATGACGCTGTATCGCCTATCTCTATAATGTGAAATTCTCGAATGATTATTGCGATATCGAATCATTTCAATTCGAAAACTTTAGATGGTGTGATCTGTACACTCACCATCTATATATCTAAGTTTTCAAGCATCTTTTTTTTTTACCTACAATTTAATATTGTACCAATGTACATGTATACTTACTAAAAGGTTGCAACAGATTTTTTTCTATGGTTTTCGGAATGCAGCCTGCTCCGAGCGATTGGTTTTTGCTTACTCTTCCATAAGTAAGAACCAATCGTCTGAGCAGACTATTCCGAAAATCATAGAAAAAAATCTGTTGCAACCTTTTAGTTAGTCGAGTGTACATGTCGATCGGTACAATACAATATTAAATTGTAGATAAAAAAAGATATTTGAGAACTTAGATGTAGTTTTTATTGGCTATAGTTGAGGGGTTGTATAGATATTAAGAATATGATACAGGGATATGTAGACATTATGTAATATCTGTAAGTTAAAGCTAATTGTAGCATGATTGTACAATTATTTTATTTATGATATCTTGACAAAGTGTATTATATAAATATTACATTGTGTTTACTTATATTACATGTATAAAGTATATTGTAACTATCACATACATATTCAATAAAATTTTTTGATAAAGTTTGATTAAATAGAACGCCAGATATTTGAAAAGCTTTTTTAATTTATGAAATTACTTATCTAAAATAATGTCTCAATAGGAAAATTTGCTTTAAAAATTTAATTTAAATAAGCAATTAAAAAAAATATATAACATTCAAAATAATAAATAAATAATGGCAAGTGATAGATAATAAATAAATATCTTTGAGAAAATGCACAAGTTATCTGTGTATATCAAGTTTTTATGCTTTAAATTTGTTTTCATATAGACTTAGAATTTTGCGAATCTTGCGTGCATAAATCTTGATCGATAACAATGCTGTATGATTTGATAAAACGCTCACGCGAAATCTAGATTATCTGGATTATCAATTTATGTATATCGACAATGAGAATGATTTATTCTGTAACGATAATTCGCTAATTGTAAAATAAAGAAGGACAGAAGTGCGATAAATAAACAAAACTTAGAGAAGATTAATACAGAAAAACAAAAGAGAATAAGAAGAGAAAAAAAGGATAGTGTTGCACTCTTAAAACTTTAAAGGAACGTTTGAGCAGTTGGAGTACTCCAAGTTTCGAGTGCGCAAGTCACACGCACCAACGCGTCAGTGTGCGCGTGTCACGTACGCGAAATCCTTCACTCGTAGTCACACGCGTAGTAATTGCGCGCATTAACACGACACGCGGTCGCAGCCACACCAGTGAGGTGGTGATTGTTGTCCAGGTGAGTCCCATTGTTGCACTACGCGATAAGGGAGGTGGGTGCTCTCTCTCTTGGAGAAGAGAGTCGCGAACGCGGTGCGCCTATTTCCGATCCCCGACGCAACGAAGTCGTGCCGTCGGTGGTGACTTGACGTTGCAACTCGTTCTATATTCGAATCAGCGATCTTTCTGTTTCGGTTTAAGAGGAGGCGACGGTTAGAGTAAAAAATCGCGTATATCTCGCGAGAGGATATGCCAGACAGCGGAGCCGTCTACCAACCGACCACCGTCGGCTACACGTACGACAGCGGTGGCGACGGCAGCGGTGGTGGTGGCGGCGGCGGCGCCGCCGGGCTGAGGCACGGCTTCTGGCGCATCGTATCCAGGCACAAGCTCAATTCCAGAAAATGGTTGGAGTGGACGTTGCTGTCGGTCGCACTATGCTTCTTCGTCGCCGGCCTTACGATCATGCTCGTCAATCTCGTCTCCGCAGAAGAGTCTTCGAAGACGAGTGACGATTCTGTATCGGAGGTAAAAATCCTAGTTATCGTCTGCGATATGCAAGACTTATCGTAAAATTTTGATCTTTTATTTTCTTAGACTTTTCCATCTGAAACATTTAAAAATCTCCCTTGTGATAATAAAGTACATAAATTTGTCTTATAAAAAGATTAAAAGAAATATCAAACGATTATTAAGCATTGTTATTTTTTTCTTGCTATAATTGAGCCTTAAATTTATTTCTATTGAAGGTATTTATAAACTGATATGAAATTGATATGTAATAATTATAGATAAAGTCAGAAGAAGATTCAACGACGGTTCCAGATGTACAGCAACATGAAAATACAGGAAAGAGTTCTGTGGCAGTAGGTGCCGGGATAATGCTGATCAGTGTATTGCTTGGCTTTGTTTGGACATGGCTCACTTTCTTCCATCACAGCAAATCACCAAGAAACGGCATGACGAGTAGCAGTGGTCAGGTAAGCGTACAGGTTTCCACCCGAATACAATATTTTGCGTCTAATTTTATTTTACCGGAAGCCATCCGCTCTCTGGTATCCGCTCTCTTCTGGTACATTTGTTTCTTTATCTTATGTACGCGTTGCTATGAGGAAAGATGTTGGGCGGTTTGAATCCATCGACTGACTTGCTGGTGGGTTCCACTTCGCAGTACGGGCCAGTACTCACAGAGGTGCCAAGCCAGCTGAAGATAAAGCAAGCCAACTCGCATGACATGCCGGCTATACCGCTTTCCGACCAAGAGGAGGAAATGCACACGCTAATGCAAGACCCTGCGAGCCCGCCGTCGGTTTCTGTTGGATCTAACACCATCACTAATCAAATTCCAGGTTGAGTAAAACGGTTGTTCCCATGTGCGTACAAGCGCGTATATAACATGGACTTAGAATTTCGTTTTATAAATTTTCTAACACGCTCCAAGAGATTTATTATCACTGCGTGACGATTTTGCAAGTTCTCTGTTTTGTTTAAAACTCGAAAGAACTATCGTCCCTTTTGATTTTCGTGGCGTTCAGTTCCGTGACGTTCCGGTCTACAATAGGTAACCCCTTTAGCATTTTGCTCTAAACTCTGAGTTGCGATGTTAATTTGTTCTAAGTTCTTTAAAGCTCATTTAAAGCTTAAGGATTACGGCTTAAAACAGCATCGGGTATACTTTTTGCCGTAAAAAAGCGTTATGATTTACAACTTAAAACAAAAAGGTTTATTACTATCTATTATAAACTGGGATTTATATTGTTATTGACATCATTTGACGTTGATCGTGTGATTAAAAAAATTTTATTTTATTTAAACACTTTTATAATTTAGATTTAAGAAATTTTTATTTAAGTTTAGACGATTTGACGAATGCAATTTGAGAGATCTCGTTTCTAGTATATTTAGGAAATTAAGTACTTATTTTTTTCTTTTATTTTTGCGTATGCATTTCTTCATTCCGTCCACTATCATTATTAATATGTTAAGTAAGCATTGGATCCAGATAAAAAAATGCAATTATGAGTTTCGTAAATTTGATAACAATCTTTACATCAAAAGTACTGAATTTATCACACAAAATATCTTTTTTAATTTACATTTGTATTGTTAAATAATATAAATATAATTTTCACTACACACTCCACATATACGCTTTATGCAAATTTGCATGCATCTAGGCAAATCTAAATCATTTTATTTTGATTCGATATGCTCATGGTACGTATATTTAAGTACCAAGTCTAAATTAGTAATAATAATAGCAATTATATTGACAATATACATTGTAAATTAAACACATATTGGTACGTATATCAATTAAGTCGGTAATTGTTACTGTAATTAACACACAAAACGATTATGTATATATTAATGTAATGTGTATATATATATATGAAACACATATAAAACGAAACAACTGCAACTTTAAAGAAGATATTTGATTTAAAATTGTTTAAATCGTGCTTAAACAATAATAAGCCACGAGCATGCTGCAATGCACAATTTTTATTTTTATTTTTAATTTGTGATATACACAATAATGAGTTTACATCGCACATAATATTATAAAGTAATCTTATACATTGGGCATATTTGCTTTAATGGAATATCTATTTGCGCACACTTTTCATGATTTTATATATATGATTTTATTTATATAATTAATTTAATTGATCTCTCACATAGAAATAATATAAATGTAGAGCTCATTCTGTAAGATATTTTTAACGGAATATATAATAAGTATATATGTTCTGGGTACATATATAGCATGATACATATATAACATTGTATAAAACCGATTTAAGATAATTTTTATATGTCTGCCGTTATTTGCTAAAGCGATGTGTTTAGTTTTGTAATATGCGATAAGCATTTTGGAGGAACTATCAAAGGACGGCCTGTAGTTTAAGTCTGAATTCAATGCTATTACAGATCAATCACATATATAATAGCTTCATTTTTTAACATTTATTTAAAGATTTAGTGAGATCCTTATTATGCCTGTGTTATTAATTCGTGTACTAATTTATGTAAATGTTCTGGAATGTAAGATAAATAAATAATAAAAATATTACTCACGACTTTTTTTCTCTATAAGCTTTAAAATATTAATATGTATATATTAAAGAATCTATTGTTGCCCTCGAAAGCTGACGGCGGGTCTATTGGATCTTTTCAATTATACATCTATTTGTCAAAGAATGTGAATTCAGCTTTCCTTATTATTTAGATTATTTTTATTAAAATATATATTTAATATTAATTCTTTTTTTGTATGAGTTATGCCATTTTTGGTATTTGAAAATTAATTAATGCTTTTTAATTAATGCCTTTAATTAATGTAAATTAAGTGCAAATCTTATACAGATTCATGTTTTTACCAATGTAGTTTAATTTTAATTTCGGTACAACTAACTTTTCATCTTTTTCTGATTTTAAAAATTAAAAAAAGATGAAGAGTAAGTTGAACTGAAATTAACATCTTGATCTACATTGTTAGAAACGGAGATAACTTGGTCAGTAATTATGTTGAAAATTTTGGTGTCAATTCCCGGAGTGTTAAAAGTACGAGCATACGCAAAGGGAGAGCAAGTATTCACTCTCTAAAATTTTGGCAAGGAGAAATAATTAAATCATGAAAATCATTTTTACGACGAAAAGTTAAATGCTCAAAGTGGTCAAGCGTTATTCGTATGAAAGTTCGTTAAAGATCCTTGAAGACTGATTTTAATATAAACATTTTTATAAGTTTTGTGTGAAAATTAATTTTTGCCCTCCTCTGACTGAAATTCTACGCCAATAATTAAAAGTATATTCAGCCACTAATGTATATAAGATTAATTTCGATTAAATTTACTTTTTATCTTTTTCTAATTCTAAAAATTAAAAAAGAGCAAGTTAAACCGAAATTAATCTTATATTCCTGGGAAAAAATGTTATATACAATATATGGATATATTTTATATATAATTATATATAATTATATATAAAATATGTCAATTTTTTATATAATATATAATTTTATATAATTATATATAATTATATATGAAACTTATTAATTATATATTTTTTTCCGGGTTGGTGGAATTAATAACCTCAAAATTTTAAGAAAAAAACCTTACTTTTTCTCTATAAATCAGCATCCGAATTGTAAATTAGTGTAGATATTACTTGAGAAATTAATTGATATATTAACGGGACTTAATTAAAGTCACTTTAGAAATTGTTCTGATTTTGAGACATTGTCATTTTAATTTTCAATAATTTTCGATTTAAGTAAAACACGCTTTTCTGAGAGAGAAGCCGATTCTTTCATAAAGTTATTGATGTTTTTCATATATATTTCATATATTATTACTTATCTTCGATCGCTAGTATAAATATGCTTTACGGAGTAATTATATAGGAAATCGGGGCCAAGTTTCTTTTTCTTTATCATGAGGAACATCGCTAGTAATAAACGATACGATAAAATCTGCATCGATAAAATACATATTGTCTCGAAAGAAAAAGATGCTATGTAAAAAGCGTTATTGTTCGATATCTTGAGAATGATAAACCCCAAAAGATACCTCGGTTGTACAAGGTTAACGTGTTTGACATTTCTATCAGCTGTCGCACTCAACATGGCTGCCTGCGCAAGACGCGTTTTCTTCCGCAGTACTGGAGAGACGCCTACATTAGGACGAACGTGGTGAACGCGATCGAGGTGCTCTAAATTGCAAGTCGTAAGAGTATTTTGGCTTCGCAATGGCGGGTAACGATGTAGTACTGGAGGGATTTATATGCCCTATATGCATGACTGATTTCAAGGCACCCCATCATTTAACGAAGCACTTCGAGGAAGTTCACAATGATGATCCGGAGATCCTAAGATCTCTGAAAGGTATGCACGATTTTTTTACAATTTATTTGTAAAGAAAAAATTCATAGAATCCTACTTTTACAGTTTATTAAGCTTGTAAAATATATATAGAACAAATATCGAAATATATTGGATTTTACTCTAGATTTATTTGGCAAAGCTAAGAAAAAGATTTTGAAGCAGGACGATATACCAGAAACATTTCCAAACGCAATACAGCAAGACAAGAGACGGAGTCCTGAAATTAATTGGGGACCACAAGAAATAGGTAATGCAGCGATACTAATGAGCCAAAGCTGTCTGACAAGAAGAAATAATTTTTTTTTATTAAAGTTTTTAAATAATCAAATGTAGATTTTTAGTTTTTTCCCAAAATCAGTATTTAGAAATACTGTATGTCACTAAATGTATAATTAAATTTTATGTGATGTATATTTTATTTAATTTCTAAAAACTATTCCAGGTGCAATTACATCTCATACGAGATATTTTAAAGATATAAGAAATGCTCGATTAGAAAGATACGCATATGAAACAAATAAACTTCTTATAAGGTTAGATAAATTATTAAATAACTTACCATCAGATCCTGTCGATAGAAAAGGTAAGAAAATACATAAATTACTTTCATATATCTCATAATATCTACTTATATTTTATGTATAATTAATGCTTAATATAAATAAAAATTTTTACAGTTCATGAACGTTCTATTGTTCCATGGATTGATGAAAAAGATGTGAAATTGTGTCCTAATTGTGCTAAGAGTTTTCATTTAGCAAGGCGAAAACATCATTGTAGATTATGTGGGGCAGTCATGTGTCATAATTGTACGGTCTTTTTGTCCCTGATCGATGCACGTATGTAAAACATTTAATATTATTTCGGGTGCTTTTCAGTCGTAGATAATAGAGAGTAAAGAGAATTATTTCATTTTTGTTTAACGTTTATCAAACATGGATGTAATGATTCACTGCTACTTTCTTTTTAGGAAAGAGTCAACACAAATGTTGTTCTATCCTTCTTGGTATGAATAATAGAACGACGTTTATGTCAAATGTATCTCCTAAAAAGAAAAGCAGCTTATTGTGTCACTTATGTCTTTTGCTGAAAAATATTTTTAATTTACGAAATAATTTGTATATATTCTTAAAATTATGTTTAACAAAACTAATTTTTTTTATAGGAAAGATGACTAGTCCCGTGTCGATACAAGATGATTCTGCTTTGTCTCCTATATCAGAACGAACATTTCCCGAGAGAATAGCACGTGCAGGCATAGGTCTTTCAAAATTAGCACGATCACCTTCCAATGGTAGTTTAAATAGTGTTTTATCATTGGTCAATGATTCAACTAGTAGCGAACAGCACTTTAGAGTCTGTACTCACTGTATAAATTTACTCGATGCAAGAGAAATGCAGAAAGCGAAGCAATTCGATAAACCAATTGTTTGTGAATTTTATGAGAAAATGAAAGAATACATGAGCGAAGCGTCGCAGCATTTAGCAATGTACAACAAAATGTGGGAATCACTAAAGTATGTAAACTTCCATTATACTTAAGACAACGTCAATCTATCTGTACCATATAATATACTGCATTAAGAAAATTATAATATACAGAGCGACTTCCTTGATGTGCAAGTTATCAATTATAAAATTAGTATCGGAAAAACTTATATTAGAATTGTTCTTAAAATTATTTTAGAGAAGGCGAGACTACATATGGTTTAGAGGATGCACAATCATTACGAGTCAAATTGGCAAAATTGGGGGAAAACATAGATGCCACCAGCAAAAGAATTCTAGTCCTTGGCGTGAAGAAAGATGCAACGGATTCGCAGGAGGCATTAGGACAAGAATTGAGACTATACCAGATGGTTAGAACATCAGCAATGATATTTTTGAAAGAAGAGTTATTAACTTTGCAACCCTTGCCCTCGATAGAGGAATATGCAGTTTTACAAGAAGAACGCCAGAAAAGGATAGAAGCCCGAATAGCATACGAGTGGCAGTTGGAAGAAGAACAACGAGAGAAACCAAAGGAACAACGCAAGAAAGATACATGGAATTTGGACAGTAATCCATCTTTGAAAACCAGTCAGGTATATTAACAAATTAGAGAATAAATGTAAAAACAAATGTAAAATAAACGTATACTGGAAGCCATCCTAAGCCGCAAGACAAGGATTAAAATTAATAAAATATTAACAAATTAGAGCAGATAATTAAGGGAATTTTCCAAAGTATAATCACATTTAATATCAAAGTCATAAAAAGCTAAATATTCAATCTATTCTTTTTTACAGCTCTCTTAGCTTTTTTCATACATATTATTTTAATTAATGTAAAGATCCTCAAAATATTTATTTCTTTTTTAAAAAATGATTGAATAGTCTAAGATTTAGATTTTATTGTCGGATTGATTAATTATTTATTGACATAGCTGTCTGATGACTCACGTTTCATCATAAGTTTTCAAATTTTTTAGGCACAAGTAATGGTGACTCAATCTCAAGGCTGGGGTCCATCTCATATTACACCCATTATGTCTTCATCTATGGATCCAATAATCGAACAAATGAGCAATCTTCGCGCGTACATTAAACAGGCCCGTGCTGATTGCAAATACGATGAGGTTGCAACATTAGAGAACAACCTTCGAGAACTTCAAAGTGCCTATTTTGCTATGAAACAAAGTAATAGCAATGACGGATAGACATATTAAAACAGCACATTTATTACTTTGGCATGTAAAATGTTGAATTCTTCTATATATTGTGTATATATATATGTATATATATATATATATACACACACATATACATATAATTATTATTATTAATTTGCAAAATATTTAATAAATTCTCTTGAATCAAAATCTTAAAATGCATAGTTTACAGTGGATAAATATACAAGGATATAGTCCACAAGATATTTCAATATAAAAATTCTTTAAGTTTTTATATTCATTAATATCACTTATATTCACTTTTTCTATATTTATTCACAAATTAATTAATGGTGTCTTAGTGTCTCAACCACATATTTTTAATTGCTTTTAAAATGCATTTCATAAAAATATATATATATCAAATTTTTTTAATACTGAATTAATTTATGTAAATATTCATAAAAAAAATACAAGAAAATTGACTCATTGTAAGGTTTTTGATAATTTATTGGTACAAGATAGACAAATACATTTTATTTGAGTGGAATAAATCGTGAAGAATGAGTAGCACCAATACCAGGTCTACCGTGTTTAACAGGTTTGTATGTAACAGAAAATTCTCCAAGATAATGGCCGATCATTTCTGGTTTGATTTCAACTTGGTTAAAAGTTTTACCATTGTATACACCAACAATAGAACCAACCATTTCTGGGACGATAATCATATTACGCAAATGCGTCTTTACAATCTCAGGTTTCTCATTAGGTGGAGTCTCCTTCTTTGCTTTGCGTAGCTTCTTGACAAGAGCCATAGACTTTCTTTTCAAGCCATGAGAAAAGCGTCTACGTGCTCTAGCATGCATCAAATCCATCAGCTGTTCACTGGAAAAAATTATTGGTTGGAATTCCTTGTTAACAAATATTTCATTTATTTCGAATTAAAAAAATTTATAAAAATGAAACTATTACAATTAAATAAGTATTATTCAATTTTAAAATTATTAGAAGCGATCTATGAGATTATAATTCTTCGTAAGGTTAAGTAAGGTTAAGTAATTGTTAGGTTACATTCAGAAAATCAATATTACTTTGGCATATCCAAGAGTTGATCAAGATCAACCCCTCGGAATGTGAACTTCCTAAAGGTCCTCTTCTTTTTTTGAGTTTCATCTGCCTGTAAAGAATACATAGAAAAAATTAATTTGATATTTAGATATATGACAATGACAACCAAATATACAGGTACATCAATATTATTCTAATGGTATATTTTGACAATTAAGTAAAATGTATAATTCATGCAAATACACTTTGCATAATGGATGTGTGAGGATTTCGTGGATTTAATATTAAATTTCGAAAACTCACCTCTGCCATTTTCGCGATTCTTTAAACAGACCTGCGTCAAAGAACGGTAGAACACAAGAGAAAAGAACACGTTTTTCTAGCAACAATTTTCATGCGCATGCGCGATCACGTGACCATTCCAGATAGATTGATCATCGATAAGATACATTAAAGACTATCAACTTACAACAAATTATTGTAATTATCACCATGGTGGAAGCACTGAACATCAATCACGAAATTTTATCCCTAGAATAAAAAGTGAAAAGTGAAAAATTTCTCCATTAACTTCAATAGTTAAAATTTTCACTGAATTTTGAAACATTGAAAAATTTCACATTAACAATAGTTCAAAATTTCTCCATTAAATCCAATGATTAAAATTTTCATGCTTCTGATTCGCTCAAATATCGGGTGCGGTCGAGTTGCCGCTACGAAGCATTTTTTGATTGGTCAATTAGTAAAATTCTTTCTTCCGATTGGTTAATCAAATGCATCGAAGCATTCATAGTGGCAACTCGACCACACCCATCATCTCAACTAGCAGCTTATCAATTGTGGCGAATTTTTTTCGATGCCCATTTCAGTGTATATATTTATGTCAAGCGTTCCCTTGTCGTTCGACTGTAACAGGGAATATTCGGTTGTAATTGGTTGGTTCTTATATTCTGATTCGATTTAAACCCTCGGTGGAAACTAGGCCAGTGTCAGCCTAGGCCTGTTTTAAGTACAATTTTAAGATGTTATAAGTCAATCTGAAAAAAAAAGTTTATTAATTGACCAATCAAAAAATGCTTTGAAGTATTTATAGTATTAAGTAGTTAAATATATTATAATATCCAATTTGGAACGTTTAACACTCTTCTATTATCGACTATGGATATCAATTTCTCAATTGTCAATAAGCTTTTGCACTAATTTATCTTTTCCTTCTTCTTTCTTTCTTTTTTCCTTCTAAAGAGAAAAGGAGAAAAAATAAATTTGTGGAACAAAAATTCGACCAAAAAGAACAGGCCTAATCTCCTATGGAAAAATATTAATAGAAAAAAAAAAATTGTATATACACTATTTGTTCCAATAGCTTTTTCACGTGTTTAATAATATTTTTTTACAACAAATATTTGAATAATTAGCTTTCAACGTGTTGAAATGCATGCAATCTATGTTCTATGAACCGTATAGTGTGGGACAGTGACTGTCATCAGCGCCACGCGGACATTAGGTGATCTGATATCCGAGAATACCACTGTAGGAAGATGGTCGAGAATTACGTTTGTGTTTGTTCAATTACTATTCTCTTTCTCTCTCTCTAATCGAGATTTTTTTATATTTTACGTAAGAATGCGAATTCAACATTTTAAATACTATGACATTTGATCACTTAGTATATAATTGAAAAAATAAACAGTGAGTATATATTGAGTCACATAAATATGTTTCAAAAAGTTATAAAAATCCAAGGAATAAGTAAAATTTATTTTCTAACGGAGTTGTATTTTTATTACTTGTATATTATTAAAAACGAACTTAATGCTCATTATGGTGTTTTGTACATAGAATCGTCATTGATGTCGTCGAGTTTTCTAACACAATCGCTTACCACTGAAGTATTCTTCAGAAATGCCAACGGAATACAGTTAACATTGGAAGAAAAAACAAGCTCAAATCTGTCTAATGTCATCATCATAAACTTTGCGTTGCGAAGTGAAAAACATTTTAATGTCAATTTATGTTTAACATTAGTCTGTGCGATTCTTTTTATATGGTTTGTGTCAGGAGCTTCAGTTCTTCTCATCGTATCAGGATGTCTTTTGATACTACAATGTAAATCATTCGTCACTTCTATCAAACAGGGTAAATTTGAATTTTTAATGTAAAGTCAAATTTCTAACAGAAATCATTTTATAATAAGATAAAAAGATTGTATTTTTTAATACATATATTATGTTTTATAGATACATTGTTGGTTGTTAAATCAGTAGGTGTACATATCGAAAATAAAAGAGGATTTGGTATATTTACATCAATAGAATTCTTACCATGGGATACAATAGAAGATATATTTATCAATGAAGTCATAAAAGGAGTAAGTTTATATATGCATGTCTGTATTTATATTATGAAAAATAAACTAATTCAAACTTCTAAATGATTTTAGCAAAGGGTACTTTATTGTCTTACATTTATTGTAAAAGAATCAGTTGGTAGACAGGATTCGAGAAGATTAGTTCCAGTATTTCAAGATCTATTACCCGAAAGAAAATGCCTGGAATACATATACGAACCCTTAGCCAATTTGATTGGCTCGACCAAGAAAAAGAGTCTTTGTTAACTGTTCCTGGTGCTTATTGGCTATGTCATAAAAAGAATATATACAAGTTCATCTTTAGATATCATCGTACAATGAAGTAAGATATTAGTATTATCTTGTTAATTAAAAAAAATTTATTTACATGTATTTTTAGAAATACTATACAATTTTCATATGGACGAGAATTATTAAAAATTATACGAAAAATTATAAAATGTCATCCAACGCAAGGTCAACAATTTGGCACGCAACACCTTCTTGTTACTTACAGTATCCTTTTCTTATTAATATTCGATTAATATTCTTTTCTTGAATAAGTCAGTCTTATTTTAATGTGTAAATTCCTTTACTCTAATACAATTAAAAAATACAGATTGTACATCTTGGACTCGACAAGACAAAATGTTTGCAATAATGAAATTTCAGCAACGAACTAATGCTGCAGCATTTTCACACGCGTTTGTATTGACTATAAGGACTTTCCCTTCGTTGGAACACTCGTTATTCGATTTAAAATATCCCATTGTCAAAGAAGCTGACGCAGGTACTACATTTAAAGATTTGAATATTTCCTTGGACACCGAAGAGAAAATTATTAGCAACGTGATATCTACCATTGATAAGGAATCTCCAAGGAAGGATACAACATGTCATACTAAAGAAATACATGCAAAATATGCCATTGAGGACATGATGTTAAGTAAAGCATTGGAAACAAAAATCAATTCTTTTCAAGATGATACAATGGAGTCTGCGTCTTTGCGCGAGAATCTAGATAAAAGAATTGAAAATGCCACAATTACAGCTCAAATGCATTTTGTTGATAAACATAATAAAGAATTTCATAATGACGTACAAGAAAATAAATATATAAACTGTAATACTGAAGGATATGAAAAAAACATAGAACAATATTCTATTGATTGTGTTCAAAAACAATCTTTAAGGACAAATGAAATTGAAAAGACACAGAAAATGAATGAAGAAATAGAAACAGAATCGGCATTAATACAGAAGCAAAATCAACAAACACGAGATATCCAGAAATACCAAATATCTTCTTCATTAAAATCTCCTCTTATAGGAATGATAACAGGTAACAACAATGAATCCTCATTAAATAAATTCAATTTTGATGAAAAACCGATACAGAAAGATGATATTTGCATCATTAATAATAAAGACAATTTAAATAATAATAAAAAGACGATCAGTGAAAATATAAATTCTAATAATGTATCACATCAAAATTTCATTGAGAAACAGATAAAGAATTCGAAATTCAACTTAATTATTGATCAACCGATGCAAAAGAATCTGCAGACCGAGATAAAGAATATAGATAAAGATTGTGTTCCAAAAATGATTGAAGAAAATGATAAGTCTATATACATTAACCAAGAGGATCATAATGAGACAAACTTAGAATTCCAAGAAAATAATAGACAATGTACTAAAACTTCAATGGAAATTGACAATAAACAGTCGGAAACTCATATACACAGTAAGTCATACAAAACTCGTAAACAAAAAAGTAGGGAATCCGAGAAAAAAACCATATCTGACAAAGTTTTGCGCTCCTCTAATATTACCGATTTAGTAATGGAAGGTTTAATGTTTACTATACGACAAGATCAGGATAGTGTAGCCGTCATTGAACAAAAGACTAAATTAGAAATAGACGAGGTCTTAGAAAATTCGGAAAAGGTAGAAACGAAAGCTGGAGAAAAATGTTTATTAAATTCAAGCTTACTAAGGTTGGAGAACTTGGTGACTATGATTGACTCTCCGCGCATTAAAGACGAAGAGCATAAAAATCACCACGCAATTGGCAATAGTGCAAATCTATCGCCTTTCAATGTTTTTCCTAATGATGTATATAATAATGTAAATATTAATGAGGTAGCTACAGAAATGAATGAATCAAATGTTTCTAATTATGATAGACATAATAAGACGAAACATTTAAATCTATACCAATCATGGCAACATCAACGCGTTTCCTCTAAGATTAGTAATAGTTGTTCAGCAAGCGTAATCTCGATAGAAAATCGGGAACGATTAATGGAATGGCAAGGTAGTGATGATGAGCAAAATAAAAATTATAAAAATAATACTGAAATTAAAAAACAAGAATATTATTCCTGGGATAATATTCCTGAGATTTCGCTGTCTAAGAAAATAAATGCAGGATTGCAAAATACAGCATCATTAATTAATAGAAATATCGAAGAGATAGACAAATATGATAAATCGATGGAAGAACAATATAGTTCTTCATTATCAAATTATTCGTTAAATTCAAGTAAGATGTCCACAATTTCTGAGGACTCTAATTCGATTGAATTATCTCGCCGAGAGGCAAATGCTCCGAGAATAGTTTCGAACGAATCTATTACTATTGAACAAATGTCACCAGCCTTGCAGAACGTTTTGCGACATAGATGCAGAGCACACAGGTTTTCTTCAACGACCAGCAGTGAAATGTTTCAACAGAATGAACAGAAAATGCAATCTATGGCATTGACAGAGGACATAATTTCTGAAATGGACATCTTGGAAGATAAATGTACAGATTCCAACATAGTAAATATTACAATTAATTCGGAAAAAATTAATAATAATGGGAAATCTTGTGCAATGATCAATAAGAACGCTTCGGAGATGAATAGAAACACACATGTGAAGAATTCGAAAGGAAAGAACGGGACTCATCGTACTTTACGAAGTTCATCGTCAAAGCATGCTTCGCCAAGAAAATTACAGGATATTACAGAAGAGTTTTATTACGACTTGATGCATGTACACAACAAAGACAATGCTATTCGAAAGAGATGTCTCAGGCAAAAACAAAAATCTTTGAACAATCTCGATGGCATTAAAAGCGGCAAAATACGTATACAAATGTTGAAATTCATTCAGGACATCACGGAGGGTGCTAGAGTGGTGGTGAAACGACTAAATATAGACAATAAATCTAATTTATTAGAGAAAAATTCTAATTTAATTTAATAATGTACTCTCATTAAAAATTTATTGCAAAGTTATAAGAAAATAATTTTGTTATATTTATATTCATATATTCTTTATTGTATATTATATAAATACATTGTTCTTTGTAGCTGTACTAAATTATACATTGCTAAAGCTCTTTTTACTATCGCCAAATTTTAAATTTTATATTTTAGTTAAATTATAATATATATTAATATTTATTTCATTTTAAGTACAAGTTAGGTGACAATAGTTCAGTTACAAAGAACAGACAAATCATTCGTAAAACAATGAATTATGAATAAGATGATTGTGACTTCAGATTTTCAGCGTCTTACTCTTATCCTGATTCTAATAGATTAGTTAAATATACTGTTACATTAATATAAATAGTACATTTTTATTAAAGACTTGTATTTTAATTTTTTTCAAAAAGTTTATGTTTAAAGAAAGATATTTTCTTCCGAATTTTTATTTATTTTTATATTTTTTTATTAAAAGGAAAAAAATATTACATTTTCTTGTAAATGTTGGATTAAAAAGGATATACACACACACACACACACATACACACATATGTTATTGGATATATTTACTAGATTTATTAAAATACATTTTATAAGTCATAGAATAAACAAAATTTTATCATTAATGTTAAAGAAACTAAAGATATTAAAAGTGAGTAATTTATTCGATACGAGAAACATAATTAGGAAATTTAAATATCAGAATTGGATGCAACATCGAACATAAAAATGATCGATGTAGGCATAATCGAATTTTGGACAGAGCACTGTCCCTTCAACTTATTGCACCAGGTGCACCAGTTTAGGTAGTGCAGGAATAAAGAACAGACTTATTAGTTTTCGTGAATACACCGTTCGAAAATTGACAGCGGGAAAAGTATCAGTACATACTTGTTGGAGCAAAACGTGCAGAAACTGATTAATTTTTCTTAAATCAGTATTACCCGTTATTATTTAATATAATATGGATAATGATAGTATGAATTTTCATAATATCATAGATAGTACCGTAAGTATTAAACAGAATGCATTTTTAAGCAATTTAATTGTGCGAGGACATGTTTGGAAATGTGAGGTTAGGTTAAATTATAGCATTAAATTAATTCTGCATACATAAAAAATACTTCTTAACATTTAAAGAAGATTCTTCTTGACTTGAATTGTATCAAAAATGTATGAAAATTCGTTAAGGCAATGTATACATGCTCTTGAAATTTTTAGACCGCCGGAAAACTTTCGCGATCATGCTAACATGCCGGTACCGAGATCGTTTCGTCTTCCTGTGGATTTGCTTTTTATAATTGAATATTAATTGTGTATTTTTCATCTTTTCTCTGTTTCTCTTTAACGTCTGTTTTTATAGCTAATATTTTCTGTTAAAGCGAAATAAATATTTATACGAAATTTGATGAAAACAAAGAGGAAAGTTCTAATGCAATTCGGTGTAGAAATAAAAGACAAATCTTTAATCTTATTGTATTTAGAGTGTAAGTGTTTTAGCAGAAATAATTGACTGCTGAAAAAAATCAAGTTATATGATTATTGGATGTGTTTTTATGTCTTTTGTTTTATACAAAATACAATTATATTTTTTAAAATAATCTAAAACACATTCATATATACTGTAAGGTTTAATCTTAGAAAGATAAGCATGCTTATATTTGATGAAATTTAAATTGAAATTTAAATTGAAATTGAAATTACATTTCTTAAATAATTTTTATAATATATTTTATATTTTACACATTATAGTATTTATTTTTACACGTTTTAGTATTTGTTTTGGTAAGATATAAGTTTCTTAAATAGCGGACACTAATCATATAGCACTATTCCTGATTAAAAATCGTTAAAAATTGAATCGAAAAGTCTTTTACCATTTTGCAATTTTCGCAATGATTGACGAAATATTAATTTATAAATAGTTAATTTTTAGTTAAGAATAACGCTATTTGTTCTAAGGCGTAGTGCACCAATGTTGCTTTGACTTTAAGCGAGGCTTAAAACTCCCTTTCTTTCGGCTTTAAAGAGAGAAAATGAGTTTTGAATCTCTTGAAGTCAAATTAACGTTGGTGCAAATTAGGTTTCAATATAAAAAAATTAATATTGTTTTAGTATTTCCAAGGCTATGAATAACTAAAGGTTAAAGAATATTTAGTGGTGCATATATTTAATATTTTTTTTCTGCTTTTGTCAATATTTTTCAATCATTTGAGATATGGTTTAACAAAAAATTTTCAGGAACATGATTATAAAATAAAGAAAGCGAAAGAATCAATGTTGTTATTGAAACAGAAAATGTGCAAAACAGAGTAAGTGTTTCTTAAGTGTTTCTATTTTTTTTATTAGATTAATTTTTTATTAAATTAATTTTGATGTACTATCAATATGGAAAGATTAATAGAATTTTTACTGTTTCAGTATTTTAATTAAGCAATATACTCAAAATATGAAAGAAGTTGAAAATTTAAAATCAAGTTTGGAAGTCGCAAAGAAAGAGGCCAAACACATAATATCGGATTATTCGTCTGCCAAGGATGAAATAATGGAGTTAAAATGTGTAAATATTGAGTCATTTAAAAAGTATCCGCGGTTTTTTCATTCAAAAATTGAACAAAACATCGCGGATACTTTTTAAATGACCTAATAAATAATTCTATTATAGATTATTTATTATTTATATAAAATTTATTATTAGCATAATCTTAAAATATTTATAAAATAATTTAGCTTTCCGTAAATGTAAAAGAAATTTAATTTTTCAAGCTGATATTTAGAAATACGAAAAATTATGAAACAATTGATACATAAATATTGTTCATATGTGATAAGTATTTAAGAATTTGTTTATTTAAAATTTTAATTTTGATATGAAATCATGTATTCACTGATGATTATTCAATTTAACTCTCGGAAAATCTTATGATAATGTATTAATTAAATCACATTAATAAAATTCACTATGCTTTCATAGAGCAACAAGCACATATAGAGTTATATTAAAAAAAAAAAAAAAAAGAAAAAACAAGATTGTAGATAAACATACTTGGTTCTATCAAATATATTTTATCAGATAAAATCATAATAACTTCCCAGATAGCCAAATCTGCCAATAGCATGTATTGCAAACTTCTGTATTTTATATTAGTAGAACTGTAATAACCGCCGATGTAGATCTCAGTTTACTGTTTTTTAATATTGATAGAAATGTATCGGAAAATGAGCAAGCATTACGACATTGTAATGGCAAGATGTGCTCCATTCTTGCTATATTTCTGTTGTTATATTCTGGCTAGCAAGTTATAAGGGCAAGCTGAAAGAGAAGAGAACACAGTGGATCACAGCAATCTGTTCTAAAATTAGAATCGAATTGCTAATAATTGTTGGCATATTACTAATATTTTGCTATCTGGGTTATTAAGAGATAATATTTACAAAATTATGTTTAGGATATATGGAGATAATGCAACTTTTTGTGAATATTTACTTTGTAAATGTGTGCGTGAATAAGCAAGTTTCGATCATAATTAACGAATTTCGAAAAGTTAATTCATTTATTTTTGCATATTAACTGACACGCTTTTTTATTTTTCTGAAAAATCATATTTTGTATCATCGATACGTGTTGGCAGATTTTAATGCAATACAAAATTTATAATGCATAGATGTGTGTATTTTTGTAGTATGTAATTATTTATAGTATTAGATTTTATTTTCTTTAAATTCTTTTTAAGAAAATATTGGCTATAATATTACATTAGAGGTTGAAAATGTGAATATTATATCTCGATATAATTATACGATTTTATTTTATACATTTATGCTAGTTTGTTCATCTTGGTTGTTCATATTGATGTAAATATTCTTGATTAGATTTTTTTGTAAGTGAGTCGTTCTTTATTTTAATTATTATCACATTTTATACGTTAACAATATTTTTTAAATTTCAGAAAATTGCAAAATATGAGCAAAGTAATGAAAAATTAATGAACAAGATAAATGACTATAACATAAATATAGCTGCAGATAAACAGAGTATACAGCAATTAACATGTAAAATAAAAGAACTGGAAGAAGAACAGTCGGCTAAAATTATGGAACATAATTTGGACAAGTCATCCTTTGAAGGTAGCGATAAATTATTCTCTTTTATATTGTATTATTTCTGTTATTTTTATTAATTGTGTTATTTCTTACGTATATATTATTCGATATATATACAAATTAAATTTGTTTATTATTTATGTCTAAATAAGATTTATTCTTTGTTTACAGATAAAATTAAAGAATTGGAACATGAATTGAAAACGTTAAAAAAGGACGATATATCAACTGTGACAAAAAAAGGTGGTAAAAAAAAGGAGAAAAAGATTTCTACAGATGTTGATACGATTAAGCCAAGTAAGTACAAAAGAAAATACAAAACTTAAAACAAATATTTTTTTATTATTACACACTTATTATATGAATCATTTATAGGTATAAAATCTACTTCAGATATTGGTATTAATGTATCACTGTGTAATGAATCAAGCGTAAAATGCGAAGTACGAGACCAAAATATTATGACCGACGAATTTTATCACACAAAAAATGATCCATATCCATTGTTTTGTGAAAAATGTGAAGCTCATTTGTCCCCAGAGTTGACTCCTGAAAAAATATTCAAAACCATGGTCGCATGTCCAAAATTAATTGAAAAAGATTTGCCTCCTTCACCGAAAAAGATTTATTCGCCGCCATGTTCATTACCTAGTAAGTAACAGTAACTAATGTAATGTCATATGTGTCAATCATATACATTCTTTTATTGTATACAGGGTGTCCAGAAAAAAGCTATATCGATATAACTTTTTTTCCTTCTTTTTGAGTCCCAAATCACTTCCCGAAGTATTGCGGGCGATTTTCCGGACACCCTGTATAATATATCTATATTATATTATTATATTTATTATATTTACATCTATTTTTAATTTTTAGATACCTATCCGGATTTTACAAATAGAAATGAAGACTCTCTCTCTAAAATATCACCTATACCTCATCTACATCCTTACAGCCCATGTAGTGATTCAATAGCAGGCAATATAAAATCACAATCGGAAAGGTCATCCACCATGACACAAATTTGCGAAAATGTTGAAATAAGAAATACGGATATTTCACATATACCATTTGTAGCCAATATATCCAGTAACTTCCATGCAATTCCTACCTTGTCTCAAAATAGAAACTGTGCAAGGGAGCATTTCTGCTCTGATGATTTACTAATTAAACATTCTATATCTATTAAAAAAATGAAAAGAAAAATTCGATCATTAAAAACTAAAATGAAAAAGTTTCGAAAATTGAAGAAAAAAATAGACATTAAGTCTCGTTGTCGTTGCATTATGAATCATAAGGATGATGTCTCGCTAAATTCGAATCTAATTTCTTTAATTTGTAAAGGTGTGGCAGAATATTTCAATGAGAAAAAAGAAGTATGTCCTAAAAATGAGCGAGATATCGATTCGGAAAAGTGTACTTGTTGCTCAAAAAGGACAGAGCTAAAAAAGAGACACTCATGTAATGCATATGAAAGCATGTTTTCGAAAATTGAAAATTTTGATGAAAATGAACAAGTACGAGATACATGTTGTAATAAAACTGAGAATGCTATGAATATTACTGATGTTTTACAATTTAATCATACATCTAAGAATGTATTGTCGAGTGTACATAAGAATTCATACTCCAATATAAATATATCCAGCACATCTCTTAATGACATTGAAATCGATAAAGAATTACTTCATAAGCAAAGTACATTGCATTCAGTAGAAGTAGTACCTGTTGAAAATAGTTTTACGATGTCACGTTTAAGCGTTGACAAATTATATGTAAGCAATGATATCTTAAATAAAGATAATGTAGACGCTAACGATGTAGATAATCAAACTGAAACTGGAACAATGTTCTTATCTAACAATAAAAAATCTTTGGATCATGTTAATGGCAAAACTGTCATTAATACAGAGGAAAATAAAATAAAAAGAAAAGATGAAATTATACATAAAGATAAGTTTAGCGAAATATGTGTAAATGATAATATTTCAAGTAAAGATAGTATAGAAGATATCGATATGGATAACCAGAAAATTGGAATGATATCTTTATTTAAAGATGAAAATTTTTCTGATTATACTAATGATAAAATTGTCGACATTAATGTAGAAGAAAATAAAATAGAAAAAAAGAGTCAAAGTGTACATAAAGATCAAGTTGGCGAAATATACACAAGAGATGATTTCTTAAGTAATCATACTATTAAAGCTATTGATACGGATAATCAGATAGAAGCTAGAACAATATTCTTATCTAATGATACAAATTCCACTTATCATGGTTATAGTAAAATTATTGACGTGAATGCAGAAGAAAATAAAATAAAAACAAAGAACCAAAATATAAATGAAGATAAGCTTGATGAAATACATGCAAGCGATAATCTTTTAAACAAAAGTAATGTAAAAACTACTAGTACGGATAACCAGACAGAAACTAGAATAATATTATTACCTAACAATGAAAATTCTACCATTGATGACAAAATTGTTGATATTAATGCAGACAAAATTGAAATAAAAAGAAAGTGCCAAAATATATACAAAGATGAGCTTGATAAAATAAACATAAGCGATAATATCTTAAGCCAAGATAATATAGAAACTGTTGATATGGATAGCCAGACAAAAACTAAAATGGCATCCTTATCTAACAATGAAAATTCCATTGATCTTGCTCATAGTAAAAGAGTTGTTATTAACGTAGAAAAACGTAATGTAATAGGCCAAAAAAGAAAAGGCCAAAATATACAGAAAGCTAAAATTGGTGATCGCTTATTAAAGAATTTACGAAATTTAAAGAGAAAAAAGCAACCAATTTCGTGCATAAATAAGCAAGAGAATATTAAATCATATTCAGATCATAATTTTGAAAATCTTGAATTAGCAAAAAAACCGCGAATTGAAAACGAAAAAGAGATTAATGACAGTTCATTAAATCATATTAAAAATATGAAAAAAAATTTAGATATACAAGTAGAGTCTACAAATAAACAAACAGACGATAAATTATGCTCTAACCATTATGAACCGAAAAAAGTACGAATCGCACATACTCCAAAAATGCCAGATCATCAATTGAGCATTAATAGAAATAATTCTACACATTGTACGATAAGAAATATAGCTACTTTAGCTACTTTAGCAATTCGACAAAAAAATAATGTAAATCAACAATTAAATACTGACAAAGATAATTCATTCATTGAAAGCAAGAAGAATCCTATAATGAATAAGAAATGTGAGGAAAACGTTATCAAATCGATTGAAACAAATAGTATTGACGAAAGACCTGTAAACGAAAAAGATTTAGATTTGATAAATGCTGAAAATTCTGTTCAAAATAATGATATCACTTCAACTGCTATTAATATTCAACATGTTTCTGAGCTTGCGAAATGTGATGACATGATTGAAGATACAATCAACAAAAATATTTCAATAGATAGAGTAGTAGCAGAGACTTTGAACGATAGTGACCAGTCGAATGTAGTACATAACAATATTGTAAATAGTACAACGAATAATTTAAAACTTAAAAAATCAATTTCATTGAGAACACGTGTTATTACCCGCTCTATATATAAAGACTTAAAGCATGACAAAGTTAGTGAAACATTAAATACAATTAAAACTAGAAAAGAGATGTCGCCAACCGCTGAATTGGGATATGTTTCTGAGACATTTGGAAATAAGAGTCACAACGATTACATTTCAAATGATGAATCATCGGTTCTATCTGATCGATCAAACGTGGAAACAACGCGAAGTGAAGATTACAATAATAGCGGAATATCTGATGGAACTATTGCAGTTCCACGTTCATCATCACCGAGAGACGTCAATGAAATGGAAAATGCAAGAAACATACAAGAAGAAACTTGTATTAGTAATAGAGCAATTAAGATGCAGACTACCGGAACTCAATATAAAAATCTAGTCATGAGTCAACGAAATAAAAAAATGGAACTTATCTTTGTCCCTCATAATTTTGAGGAATCTCAGGCGCCAATGTCACGATTATATAAATATATTAACAAAAAGAAATGTACCAAAAAACATAAATTATCATGTAAAGAAATAAAATACGCTTGTAAAATAACAGGTATATTTAACAAAAATATGATTTCAAGATATAACTTTCGAGATGAATAAAAAAACAATTATATTTAGATTTAATAATCTATATTCCAGGTTCAGTAATTGATATAAATATGAATATATATAAAATTTTATAAAAAGATCAAAATATATTTTTTCTTAAAGAAGTTTAAAAATTCTTAGTTTTAAATGTTTTTTCTTAAAATATACTGTCCTTTTAATTATTAAACAAAATTATTAATTTAATTCTATATATCACATATGTTTTAGATAAATTTGTAAAGAAGCAATTACGACGACTTATGAACAGTGATTGGAAAGATTCTATATATGATTCTATACATAACGATATAAAAGTAAAATTGGAAAATACTTGCGGACCTCGAATTATAGCCAAGTTAGTATGCCATTTTGTGACTTTTAAATATGTAAAAATGTCAGAATAAGTTACATATATTAAATTATTTCATTATATTAATGGAGCAATATGTAGCAAACAGTTATTCCCTAATAATTCAACATTTATTTTGTTTAACTTTAACAGAAACATTAAAGCATTGATTAAAATGAAGCAATGTATATTATAAAGTTAGAAATTTACATATTAAATGAATAAAAAGAGGGAAATAATATTTCTTTTGCGTCCATTTTAGATGCATAGTAGAGTTTATAATAGACGAAGTCAATCATACAGAAGCTTTGGATAAATCATTTACTCCTCCAGCACCATTGATGACGAAATTTGAACAGAAGATCATAACGTTATTATTCGATTTGGAAGCATCGAAACCAATGGTGATTTATTTCGTACAAGCCGCCATCGAATTTCATATGTTTAGACTTGATAGTGATGTGAAGGTATATTTATTTGTCTATAAATATAATAATTTAAATCACGTTGTTATGATAACAACACTTTTCAATTTTAAATTACTAACACTTTTATGTATGTAGGACCCGATTGATTCGCTCACACGAATATATGTCGTTCTGTCACGTATTCAGAAGGATAGAGAAAAAATACGCATGATGTGTTGCAGTGCTCTCTATTGCATGAATCTTAAATCAATAGCTGTTTTAAATACAATATTAACGTGCTGGTCTGAAGTTCTTCCGAATCTAGTTTGTCAAGAAAAACAACGATAAATTCGATACATCACTGACACAGTGATGAATGACTTCATTTTTAATCATTGAAATCGTGCACAAAATTGCATCGTTTATGTTCATAAATGTATATTGTTTAATTCTTCCAGAAATATTATCAAAATGCATAGCCTTTCTTATCAACTCATTATACATTAGTACCGATAAGGATCGAATATTAAAGAAATTAAAGCATTTAAAATCATTGGTATCGAGGTGTCATAACTATACTAGCGAAACAGTAAATGATATTGTTAAGGAACTTATGACTGCTCTTAAAGGTAAACATATTTTCCGCATCACGTTTTTTTTTCTATTATATTAATTAACTGCAAATTATATTGATTAATTGTAAATTATATTTTGTTTAGCTAAACGGATCGAGGGTTTGGATACTGCCATTATACTTGTTGCAAAGCGAGAAAAGGCACAATGGACATATAAAAATATTATTGAATCTGTTCTATTACCAATTATTATAAGCAATCAACATCCCTGCATATATAGTGCATTTTCTTTACTCGGTAAGTTAATTTTTTTAATTTATTGTATTATATTTTTGATGAAGGAATACTAATGTATCCGATATTATATTACGTATTTACAGGAAGGCTTTTGCGCGCATTCCCATTACAAGATAAAGATCAAATTGTGCACGACATCTCTGAACAGCTCTGTGCCCTCATCCAATCTGGCCAAGGTAGTACATTCATTTTGTGTATACGAAAAACTAATTTTCAACATATATTTACCAATAACACATATTTTTATATACACACTATACATATATAATCTGATTAATTTTTAAATAGGTTCACATGATCAACAAGAAGGCATAATATCTGCGTTGCTCAGCCTTTCCAGACAAAAATTCGACGTTATATCGTGGCCTGTAATAAAATGGACGCCGAGTAAATCTTTAAGACCGATTGTCGACACACAATTGCAGACGTTCTTACATACACGTACTTCAAAATTTTGGAAAGAATATTTACGAAAAAAAAATATTAAACTTATCCAAAATAAAACGTGAAATGTTAATAAAATTAAGTAAGTGTAATTTGTCGTTCAATCTTTGTGTAATGATCAACTCAGTAATCAACAATTCAATACTAACAACTCGCATAATTTTTAATTAAGAATTACAATAAGAAATATATTGATTACGGACATAACGTTTAATGTTTAAAATTTGAAATACATCCAATTATTGTTTGATTTTAGCGAAATTATAATACTTATAGTTTACATTTGATGATTGTTGTCACTTTGCTTGCCATGTTTATCCAATTTAATTATTTAATTTTTCTATTAATTCGCACATATTAGAGTATATATTTATTTTTTAAATATGAATTAATTTTCGCTCTTAAATTCTGTACAGTTCTGCTTGTTATTAAAAAATTGTTTTTTAGTTCTAGTATTTATAGAAGAAAATTACATTTTATTATAAAATATTAAAATGTTTTCTTTTCATTTAGAACAAATTGATATTTTCTCTTGTAAAAATATATAAATATTATAAAATTAACGCCTTTTATACCGTTTATTACTTTTCACGTAATTCCTCTGTTAAATATCTTAAAAATAATTACTCTGATTTTCATTTAAAGATTCGAAAGGTTAAAAATAATAATCCATATATTGTGGCCGACCTAAATAATAATTTAAAGAGATAAATAAAAACATAATTAAAATCAATAAGATCTAATGATAAAAAGAATTGTAAACAACTATTTTGTAGGTACCAACATCTACTGTTGGATTTGACCAAAATTTAATACATTTTATATTAATATAAAATTTTATATTAATATAATACTTAAATACAATGTTATTCAGTGAAATAAAATGAGATATTTATATGATTATAACACTTCGATCTATTTCATGAGCAACACATTGAATTAAATTGCATTTCTGAAATAGCATTGTAGAACAAACATTAACAGTAAATTATTTCAATTGATATTATTTTACTTTGTAATATTATTCGAGATAATAGATAATATTTAACATATCGTAAGTTTTCATTCACAGAGCATGCTAAGTTAATACATGTACAAGGTTTCTTTACAAAAATAATAACAATGTTTTGATGCAACATTGCCGGTCGATAATATCTCTCTTTTTACTTTTGTTAAAACGTCGTTTAGCAATTTTCAGATCAATTCTTAGCAGTTTCCAAATTAACTGAATCTTTGGTATGTTGATGTCGGATAGCATATTATAGAAGTTTGGTATCGGATGAGAGTATCCATTATTATCCACCGTCATAAAATACCCGCAAGAATGAGCATAAGGATCGTCATTTCTAAGAACCAGCCATCGGAGAGTGACGCGGAATAAAGATTTGGAAATTCGCGAATTTTGAATAAGATGGTATCATCTAATAGAATAAAAAATTAATGGCCGTAAGCATCAGTTAATATTATTGCTTTGATATTGACTAATTGTTATAACTAAATTGATCAACGAACGATATCACACAATATTATTGCAAATTGAGAATGTAAAATATTGTTTATTCTTTATTTTGATTTTTAGCAATTTCACAGAGCCAAAATCCTAACTATGCTAGTATATATGAAAATCGGCAAGAAATCAAATTTGAAACAATAGAGAAAATATATGTCACATAATATAATCGTATTTTATGATATATTGAATTGAAAATGGTCAAATTTTTGAAATTAAAAATTCGCACTTACAGAAACCATGAAATATTAATTATTAATTTTGTAAACTAATTTTGATCAGCGTATACATCTTTCGTTTGACTACAAGAAACTGCATGATATCGTTTAATAGTGTTGTTTCATACATCTAAAATTACAATTAACTCAACATGATATAATTTAAATAATGCTATTTACTTCAATTATATAATAAGAGATAATTATCGATGGTGCGCGAAAGAAATCGCATTTATATCATGTTTTTGGATGACATTTTGGTGTCGTTATTTTATATTTGTGTGTATTCGCACGGAATACAATACGCGACGTTATCTGATATAATAAAATGTCATCTGTGTGATACATTAATTGTATAAATTATTACCCTCTCAAAGCTGGTTATCATAGTGTTTCATTTATCATCTCTGACGACAATTTACAAGATACAAATCGTAATAAGGCTCTCGTTTGATTGGCTTGGATTCGGCCGAGTCAGGGAAAAGCGTTAGATTAGTGGAAATACTAGTTAATCATCGAATGACATGAAAAAGAAAGGTCTTAAATTCATCAAGATCTCCACATAGATTATTTTCAATTACAATGTCATACGCTAATATTCCAATAATTTTGTGTGTATAAACATTTGTTTATAGAATATGCAACAATTATATTTGATTTGGAAACAAAAGAAAACATATGTTTAAAATATAGGACAAGTGATAATTTTATTATCTGACACGTAGCAGTGTCTCAGCGCTAAGCCAAGTTTAGCTATACATGTATGTATACAATGGAAGTACCAATTCCAAGTTATTATAGCGAGTACTTTATTAATAAATTCTTTAGAAATAGCATCTTAAAATTAGAAGCAAAGGCCATTGTTTTTCTTTCATGCCATCCGATAGTTCTGTATTAAATACGCATTCTGGATTTGGATGTGACACAGTGCACACAATCACACATTCTATTCTCAGCACTCGTTTCGATACTGTGTATTTCATACATTCCTTTTCACAAACAAGTCCTTATTAAATAATTTTATTGAAATAATAAGAATAATTTCTAATAATAAACAAATAGTCATAATTAATTACATTAGTTAATAATAATAACAATAACAATAATAATAATAGTATACGTATTATTATTATTATTATATATTACGTAATATATATAGTAATAATAAATTAGGAACCACGTACAATATGAAATATGGGAAATTAAATTAGAATACATTTTGTTAATGAGGACTATTTATAAATAATAAAAATACTATCTGTATATTCGCTTTTATAAATGTTTAGGCCACGCTTTCGATTCTTACATTAAGTTTTTTTTCTCTTTCTCTTTAGCTCTATTCTTTTTGTAGTAAGCAGAAATCTTGAGTAGTTTGAATAGAGAAAGCAGTTTGTTGTCATAACTATTAATGTGTCTCAAAGCGACGAGCGACGGGTAAGTGATTAATATGAAAAAGGTGAAACAAAACGATGTTTGGAAGCTTTCCTTTTTTATGTACTCGAGAGTATCTACAAATATACAAATTACTATCGAATCGTCGTTTAATGTCTTCAGTACCTGTTCTGTCACTCCGTTAGGTGTTTTCTTTTAACAAATTATATAATTATAAAAATATGCATTCAGTTTTTTTTAAGCGCAGTGCATCATGGTACGATGAGGTATCAGGCTGATGGAACGTAGTAATACGATGTGGCGAAAACGTTGCTTTTTATAATTAATATAGCTTACGACCCGAGATATATTTAACGTAAAATAATTTACTATTTACAAGAAACTGAGACAAAATGACAAGAAGGCCCAACTTTCTGTACGCGATGAAATATCTCCAAATATACATATCAATTCCACTCTATTGCATTGTTAACATAATATTTTTAATGCTGCATAAATTGTAAATCAGCAATCTGAAAGTTGAAAAAATTTTGAGTAGAGAAATGAGAAAGAAATTATAAATCTGGTAGCAATTGTGCATGTAATCGGAGACTGAGCCTTTTATTTAAATAAATAAATAACGAAACAAGAGAGAATGATGCATGATCAATATAATTTAATATTAAACATAGCAGTTTTCTTGATTTTATGAAACAATTTAACAATGTCGGCATCTTACTTTTTATTTTACGTATGAGATGAATATTAATGAGAAATGATATTCGAAATTAATATTTGAAATTATATATATGTGTATATCATTCAATATCGAGATAAATAGGATATGAAAAGTATTAGCAATTTTTTGAATTTCATATTCAACTCTCATCTATGCAAACAGATGAAGTTATTTAGTCGTTTAGTTTTACGTGAAATTAGCAAATTATGATCTGCGCAAAGTCATTGAATTTATTATTCTACCGTATTGGTTGTTTTATCTTGTAATAATAGCTAACGGCATTTTTAATTCCGTTTTTTTTTTAATTTTTATCGCTTGTAGCTGCAGATATGGAAACGAAAATTAATTCACTATAAGTACGTCATTTTTGTGTGCCTAAGATTTGGTAAACGATATTTCGCGTTATAGGAGCAAAACGTCTTGAGAAAATATTTGTCATATATAACAGTACAACGCCGGATGGCGATCTGACGTCAATAGACTTTCTAACCGATCAGTAATAAATAGCATCTCTATTATTAGCGGCAAAATGTATTTCACATGTGCTTAGGGAACTATTGCTTTCTGGTAAGACATCGGATTTAATCTAGATTTAAATCTTAGATATTTCTACGTAAGACACATATGTTCATTAACCCTTTGATACTAATAGTACGTTCCATCGCGTTCACGAACATTCTTTGGAAGAGCCTAGTGAAAGTATAATGTAAGTTACTAGATCTAATCACAACGTATTAGACCTCTGCGACGAGAATATGAGCTATTGTAGAACGTATTTATGTTTATATATTATCATATGTATCCGGAGATATATCAGATTAAAGTCTTTTACGAATAACAAAGTTAGGATAAAGTACAAGTAGCATACGTACCAAGGATCAAAGGCTTTACCTTGTCTACTATCAGCGCTTTACAGCTATTGATTTCTCAATGTTTTACAAGATTTTGTCACTAGCGTGTATCAGCGTCCTGCGCTCGTAACACGGTTAGCAATTGGACGACGCTCATCGCTAATTTTAATGAGAGAAATACACAGACAATTTTCTTTCTCTCATTCTTATTTGATCTTGCTTGATCAGGTGTACCACAACTATTTGCTTTCTTACAAACGAGAGTAGAAAGGCACTACTTTTACAACTGTGTGTGTGTGTGTGTGTGTGTGTGTGTGTGTGTGTGATGCGTGTATTGTTTTTCTTTCTTTTTTATTGATGAGTGATGACAATAAGACGCGATACTATACAAACGTTTACATAAAAACCAACATTCAATGGTCGCGAATCTGTCACTTTCACAGAAGAATCTACGGAAATGTTTCGTCCTCGAACGTCACGTTATTCATGCGAAGTCCTGTTCCACTTTCAAACTTTTGGACGTAAGATTCTTCGTGAATCGTCCATCGAGATGTTCGTTAGAAGGAATACACAATAATCGACGAGCATTAAACATCCCTTCGATCAAACGGAGGACATGAGTGCGACAATACGGGGAATGTCTTGATATTACGATATAATAATCGAAAAGAACCAATATCGTCGTGCCAATACGTGTCATCAGCTTAGAAATCGTACTTGATTTATGTTCGTTTTTTTCAGCACCGCATTAGGATGGTCAATCACTCGCTGAATCAAATAGTGGGATTATTTCCAATACGTTCGCTAATAAAGGCTACTAAAGGCCGCTGCTGTCTCGAGATATTTCAAACTACCTTCAACTAATCGAGTAGTTTATTCGATGATCTTTTGTATGTCTCGAGTATCGCCGATAACGAATCCTCGCGGCAAAACGTTGTATATGGACGACGCGTCACGTAGTTCGCTATTGGCTCGAGGGCTTATTCTCGCTGATGGATGCCATCCTCATCGATTCCGTTTCTGGACAATTCCAGTTGGGCATTCTCGTTTGTTCTATCGTCGCCTAAGAAAAGATATTTCAAATGATGTATTATTATTGATTGTCGCGAATTTTCGGAATCTGCATTTCGCATCTAACTAGCATTAATATTTAGATAGAGCTGCGTGACACACACGCACGCACACACACACAAGCTTTATCTTACCGAGTTGTTAGAATTCTTGGCCGTGAAGATCATAAGAGAGCGGCTGCGGTTGCTGAACGGCCTCAGCTCCGGATCTCGGCCAGGACCATCCACCGTATCGACGCAGTTATTGCTGCAATGAAAAGAAAAAAATCGAATGTAATATTTACTGTGAGTCTGAATCTGTACCACAATAAGAGTTATGAATTCCTTCGAGAAGTTTACGTTGTGATCGAGTTCTGTTATACTAATCATGTATAATCAATTAAAATAATAAATAATAGATAGACTATTGATTACCTCGATCGTAATTCCTTCTGTTTTCGCTTACAATGGATATAAGCCGCTATACAAATGATAACGACGAGGAATACTGCTATTGTGGCACCACCGGCGATGCTGGCTGTCTCCAACATTACTCGTTGCCGTGAAGCTATAAAAAAAAAAATCATTTTTATTTCTACTTAGTTAAATAATATATTCGGAAGAGAAATAAAATACAATACTTCAATACCTATGCGATTTAATAATTCTATTTACTTTAATTATATTTTGGTAAAAAAGAAAGTTCCAGAGCGTGAAAGATTTTAGTTTTCAAATTACAAATGTTGTTAAATATGATAAAAAATATGATATTTTTGTCTAGAATTTGTAATATACAATAAATTGAATTAATGATATTAATATATGATTGAAGTTTGGAGCGTTCGTGGAGCGAAAATTAAATATAAGCCCACAGTGTTCACATTGAAATAACAAACAATTGAAGATCACTCATACATACATGTGACCGAAAATTCCATGTATGTCCAGGTGTTTCAAACAAAAATCTAAAAGTGCGAATAAAATGCCTGAAACTATTGATGATTAAAAAAAATAATTCGTTGAGATCGTGTACCCGGAAGAACTCCGAATGGCGAACACCCGCCCGATCGGCCGTACGCAAAAATTGTATTTGCCAAATTATCAAAATGCCTACATTTTATGAAATTTAGCCAAATCTTCTCTATGTGATTTTTGCTGTTAAATTGCCATTAGGGAGAACTCCCTACGACTGCAACACTGCTGTGTATTCTAGAAAATGACATTGACTTCTGACTATTCCTATTTATTCCTTATTCTTATCCCTACGCTTTCAGACGTCGTCTGGAACTCCAGTAGTAAATAATAACAAATGAGTACAGGCGTGTCGTTCTATTCTTTAAAAAAACTTATGGGGTGGAGAAAGATGCCCGTAAAGGTCTGACAGTGAGCATCATTTTCTCGTTAAACAGCGGATTTAAAATCGAGCGCGGACGCAAATTATCTCCATATACGTTGAACGCATATTTGTCGTATAAATAAGAAAATGATTTTATTCGTGTTACTTGACCATTTTTATAAGTACAACACACACATACATATATAATGGAAAAATTTTTTATTTAGTGTTATTTTACACTAAGGAAACACAATGATCCTCCGATTTAAATGAGCTTTTAATATGTTGTTCTATGGACAAGAATAAGAGATAAGAAAATAAGAGATGTGTTTTTGTATATCGGCTACTATCGCACCTTAAAGAGGTGGAAACTTACTTTGAAAAAAAAAAAAAAAAACAATCTTTTTCTTTCAAAGCGAATATCTTCGAAACTATAAAAGATTGAAAAAATTTTCCAGAATGAAAATTGAATGACTTTAAAAGTACTTTATAACTATAATAAAAAAATTTTTTAATTTTTATATGTCGAAAATTAAAGAGTATTTTACACTGAAAATAACGATGTGTATTAAAATCACGTTCCGAAAAATTATTTCTCAGATATGAACGAAATCGTCTCTATATACGCGTTCCGTATGTATTCATCTTATACCGCGTTGGCTGCGCGAAATAGCAATGAAGGCAAACACAATTCGTCACAATGCAATATAAATGCAGTGCAGTAATGACTACTGAAATAAGTTTTTTTAAATAATATTAATAACAATAATAGCACCAACAATAATAGTGACTTTGTTAAATTGCTAAAATCAATCAAATGCTTTTGAATATATATAAAAGAACGTACGAAATATTTTGGACTTGATGATATTTTGGAATTAAAAACAAAGTATGAATAAAGAAATTATTACGTTTATAAAATTTTTTTCATTTTCATCGTAGAGCAGCTAATTCCAGTGTTAACATGAATAATGTATTACTAAGACGTTGTGTTAGAGTAATACGATGCTATGCAGAAAATAGATTTGCTGACGTATTGTTTTGTATGAGTACGTTGTTAACGTGAAAAAAGTATGTAAAAAGTAAGTAAATTATAATGCGTCTTATTCATGCAACGCTATGTAGGAAATATATATGCTCCTATGTGCAATAGGCTAGTAGCATATTGATTGTGAATTGTACAGTGATACTGTCAACTTTTCACTAGAAATAACGTGCAAGTGTGCTTCTTATCAATTTAAAATGTATTAGGTGTTGGAATTAATTCGTAGCGTTTTTAAATGAAAGAATGTTATTTATTTCACATGAGCATTAAAAAATACATTAATGAAAGTACTTCCCATCATTGTAAAACGCTACGAATTAATTCCAACACCTAATATATAACATGCAATTGTAAAGCTTACTAATATAAATTGAAAGTAACATGCAAATGCGGTGTTTCTTATCAATTCTTAACAAAGATACTTTTCTCGAAAATACGCAGAAGTGCAATTTACTACTTTACAGGGATTATTTTTTGATGCTCCAGAATAAACATGCAAAAACTGATCAAAATCCGTGAAATACTTGTGAGTTTCTCCTTGTCAGATGTGACTGTGCGCTGAAATATTCGGACTTTTAAACAATCTGAGACGCTAAGATATGATTAATAAGATCTTCCAGAATATTTTCACTTCATTATAAAACATTTTTATTGCATTATATCTTATAGAACAGCATATTTACTTCATACAAAATTAATAATTTTTTGATAATCGTGTTGTTCGGCTTCGGTCTTCGTTTCAAGATTTGGCCAACTCCTCTTCTATCATGATAACCACCATGATAACCGCCACCACGACTATCACTATCTCGATCACTGCCATCTTGACCACTGCCACTTTCTACATCATTGCGATCATCACCATTCTGTTGTACATAAAAATAAATATGTTGTAAACAAAAATATATTAGAGAAAGAAAAAAAATATTAGGGAAGTATCCGGTATCCGGTTGTTTTTGTTATCCATAGATAACCGAATATGTTATTTATATAGATAAATATAACATACCATTGCTCTTGCTGCTACTTTTGTTGCTCCAAAAGATCTCATGATGCTTCTGCTGCTCTTTTTGTTGCTGAAACATTTCCTTTAACATACGCTGTTTGTTTTCGATAGGAGTATCATTCTCCAAGAGCATACGCTCAGCAACTTCTGTAATTTCTTCAGAAAAGATCAAAGAATAAAATTCTAGATTGTAAGCCGATGTGACTTTCGTGTCAAAATGAGGACAAATAAAAGAGAATACTGCATAACAGAATATGGTAATCGTCCGGAATAAAGAATCCTACAAATTTATCATAACATTATAGTAAAAATAAAAAATTCTTATACGAAATATCCGTTTAAAAATTATGTAATACTTACTGTACATACTTACTGTTTCAGACAAGATGCATATCATCATCGTGTATTGTCACAATTATAGTGGGATCAGAAAGATGAAGCATTGCATAAGACGGAGTGGGGATGGGCGAATTTCGACCACTAAAACGCAACTGGCAATGCATGGCAATTCAAGATCATTGGCCATTCATGATCACGTACGTAGGAAATAACGGTGGCAGTTTAGAGCCAAAATTTGCCTGTGATGAAAACGTATAAAATCGGTCAACTTTATACATTTGGACGCTGAACTTGAGCTACCGATCTCAACGAATTATTTTTCTTTAATCGTCTCTGCGTCCGGAACCAAAATCTAAAAATGCAGGTGTAATACCTGAGATTACTGACGAGATTAAAAAAAAAAAATAATTCGTACCCGCAGGTACACGATCTCAATGAATTATTTTTTTTTAATCGTCAATAGTCCCAGGAATTTTATTCGCATTTTTAAATTTTCGTTTGAAATGCCTGGACATATGTAGGAAATTTTCAGTCACATGTATGAACAGTCGATTGTCTGTTATATGGGCTTACATTTAATTTTCGCTCCACGAACACTCCAAATTTCATTCACATAAATTAAGTTAATTTTATCTTTTTTATATGTATTATACACATTATTTTACTTTTGATCACAGCAAAATTTGATCTCTATTGTCATTTCACTGTCAAAGTACTTTCGAAAACTGTTTCCGTACGTGTTGCCAAAGTTATCAACAAAATCTTTCGAGAACGGCAAATCTACTTACGTAAATAGGAACCATCTAAATCTTTAAACTCGCATCTTTGTCCGATATATCCATGGGCGCATCTGCGAAGCAAAAATTACAGGTAACTATATTAATAAAGTTATCGAAATATCACAAATGGATGGTTCGTATGCTTTTCTTTTTGTAATTTGAATAAGATAAACATCCCAATGGGCATGTACCTATGTACTTACACATAATAGAGAGTTTTTGCAATAACGTGAATCCAGATAAACACTAAAGTCACGTTATCCTTTTATTAAGTAGTTGTTAAGAAGAAGATAACCTGACCTTAGCGTTGATCGTTTATTTGAATAAATGGTATTGCAAAAGCTCCCTAATTTATTATTATTAATCTTAAATGCTCTGTTTATTATAATATTATAATTTAGTTATATTTAAAAATTACAATTAAATTATAATATTATATTTAAAAAAACATTTGAGATTAATAATAATAAATTTTGTGTAAGTGTCCGGATATAGATACATGTTCGATCACTAGGACGTTTATCTTAACAGGAAGATAACACAGAATGCTCTTTAAGTCCTAACTGTTTTGCTGCTGTTATTCATCAGATAAATGTATTCATATCGAAAAGTCAATTAGTGAAAATTTAATTGGACTTAATTATAAACCTAATTATAAACCTAAATTAGACGTAATTATAAGATGTTAAAAGAATCATTAATAGAGATGTTAAAAGAATCATTAATTTACCAAGCGTGTGATTATGTGATAATTAACAAAATTTTCACAATCAATTTTGCTAAATAGTATTCATTCATAACTTCGCTAAACAGTACAATTGATTGAATGAAATTAATAGAAAATTATGAATATTTATATCAGTGTTATATTTAAGATTATGCTTTAAGTAATAAATATAATTATATCCCGAATAATGGACATATTTAAAAACTTCTATAATATAATTCTAATCACTTTTTAATTTTAATATTATTCACCCGTTAAACGATCAAATTTTTCTATAATATTTAAAATATATCCTTTCACATATTTAGTTTCAAATTATTTGATGTACATTATTTTCCATTACTATCTTGGTATAATTATTAATTTTTCCAGAACGTTGTCGACAGAGAAATTTTTTGCGAAAAAATGCGCTTTAAACCAAAATCAATGCAGCTAAATGTTTATTATTCAGTTTACAGCATCTCTATACTCAACTATACATCGCATATTTCTTTTAGTTTGTTTACGATATCATCCTTATAATAACAATAAAACATAATGTGCCAAACTAAATTTTATTTTGTTGCATTATTAAACTTATCCCAAATGCGATAAATACAATTAATCTGCACAATTTTTTTCTAACATTAAGTAACACATTGCAATATTAACTTTGTGTATGTGACGAAGTTTAAAACGAAAGATAACGAAGATAATTAACTCTCTTGTTCTCAATTTCGATTTTGTCAACCAATATCTCTCGCAATATAAGTTTCTTTTTGCTTTTATTCAATTTTCAGTCATACTTGTAAGTCAATTGTAATTACTTAACATCGTGTAGAAGTTCTTATTGAGTATTCGCGAGTGTTATATGAATCTAAACAATTGTTATATCACAATCCCTCATTAATGTCATCGTTCGTGGGTTACGGGCTTCTTTTATTGGGATTATCTAGATTGCATTTGACAAAATCCGGTACTTTAAAATTCACGAGAAAATGTGACTGTTAGATTAATTCAAATTGAACGCGACAAGCGCGAGATGAGAGACGAACGATTCGATTCAAACGGCAGATCGCGGTCGACAAAGCAAACACCGTGGGAAATAGTAAGGTTGAGTGAGCACGATGTGCTCTGCACTCCTCGATGCTATTCCGATGTTAATCCGATTATTCAATAGATCTTTTTTTTCCCTCTCGCGATATTTAAATTCACTTCGCTCGATGCTTATGCTTCCAGCATTAATCTTGCAAATGCATCGAATCGTTATTAAACGATAATTTTCGTATTCGTGGAAAGGAGAAAAAAAAATCAAGAGAAAACGTGGATAGAAAGTTAGTAAAAAAATGCTGGCAGTTTGGGAAAAATGCCAGCTAAACACGAAGGAATCGACAGGAATTTCAGCGTACGTGCCGAGGTCGAGTAGTCACAGATTAACGGATATACAACGCGAATGGTGCCGTCTTTCCTTCTGGGTGGTTTTTTCGTCCGGAACCGCCACGATTGTTCATGGCCGAGTCGCACAGTAAGGCGTCCGATGGAGAGCGGAGTCACAATACTCCTGTACGCGTTCTCGCATAAATAGCAAGACATTTTCCAGGATTTCGATTGTCGTACCATAGCCCGCAAAAATGAAAATATCAACTCATGGAAAATCCGCGGATGGAATTTTCACCTGAGTTGATTGTCAGAGTCGACGATTACTGGTATTGGCGCGCGTTATAGTATATATATATATATTTCAAAAAAAGATAGCTCGTACTTACAGACAGTTGTATAAGAGAGAGTCGACAATTTTTACGGTGAAACACGTGGCGCCATTTAAACAATACCACTCTGCGTAATCCGGTGGACACGTGTACATGTGGAATGTGATATTCGGCCGATCCGTTGGCGTCGGCGGCCTTGGTTTTGGCGTTGAACGTGACGAGCAAGCGTCTGTCAATGAAACATATACAACAATCATTAGATCCTTTTACATTACATGTCATGCGTATCGCTTTTCTTTTTCTTTCACGCATGCCAATAAATTAATTTCACCAGAGAAGATTTCAAGTTTAACAATTTTATATTAGCCCATTTTAAAAGTAATTATATTGCAGTTCTTATTTTTCCCATTACTATTACTATAAACAACTACTTATTACTATAAACAAATTTCGCATCTCATGTAAATAATCGGTTATATCGGAGATAATTTTAACGACTGGTGATCCTATAGGAGCATTTGGTCCCATTATCGAGATGAGAGAGTACACGAGTGAATAACCGGATAAGCTACTAAGGCGCTTCAGGAATTTTTCGGTTTTTCCAGGTTCGTTGAACACAATGGATAGGGTCGTACTTCTTCCTCGCTCTTCTACTCACACCCTCGCTTTTTTCCAAACATCTACGCACGCGGCACCAGCGACGGTGGCCACCCTAGCGAAAAGGTGAGGAGAGGAGAGATGAGAGAGGAGAGGAGAGGAGAAGTGAGGTGAGAGGCAAGATGAGGTGAGGTAAGATGAGGTGAGGTGAGACGAAGTGAGATGAAGTGAGATGAAGTGAGGTGAGGTGAGATGAGGTGAGGCGAAGCGAGGCGAGGTGAAGCGAGGGAGGGCGGAGGGGGATGAGAGCGCGTGCATCTCGCAGGCGCGAGACTGTACACAAAGCTGCAAAGTACAGCTAAGGCGGCGATGGTTGCATCTGTCCCGCGCGTGGCTGCTGTCCGTCACCTGTTGTAATTTTACAATCTGCTGTTTCCATACCCCAACAACGCTTCACGCTCCGTACGCTCCAGTTTATCGAGCAGGCGCGGCGTTTTATCTTTCCCTTACGAGAAACTCGCGTGCGCTCCTCTCTCTCTCTCTCTCTCTATCGTTCTTATCATTTCGACTTTACCCGTAGTAAACCTTTCACAGCTAAAAGTAATCTTTGAGTTTTACGATTGAAAATATTTCGCTACATCACTGTTATTCAGATTTGTTGGTTGTCGTAGTCGCTTCATCTTTCCATTAAGAGTAACATTAAGAGATAAAGACCGAATGCAGATGTGAGCGGGGCAGATAAGCGTGTTTGACAGGCGTACGCCAAAAGTTTGCCTTTGTAATTGCAGCGCGACGCGAGAGAGGCGTGAGGAACAGGGAAATACTGGATAACGATACTCTACGTCGATTATCTCGACGGTTTTACGTCGGGACCAGGTGCAACGTGACGCGCGAGTACTATTACATTATACACATTTGCTCGTATCGTCTGGCATAAGTCGCGCATAAAATGAGCGCTTTGTCGCGAGGGCGAAGGCTCCGTTCGGCATGGAAATATTCTGTACGGCAGCACTTTTGTCTGCCTTCTCCGTAAATAACGAAAAAAAAGAAAAAAAAAGGAGAGAGAGAGAGAGAGAGAGAGAGAGAGAGAGAGAGAGAAACGACAGATTGTAAGATTGTGGCGCAACGAGCGTAACAAGTGGTGAAGAACGCAACACGGGCGACTGATTCACCGTGTAATACGAAACGATAATTTATCCTCCTTAAGTACACGCTATTTCCATGGGCGTTTCTCTTTCTTCTCTTGTTCGTTGTTCCCAATAATATAGCGACCGCCAAATTGTAACGTGGCTTATAAATGCAAATAAGGAATAGTATAAACACAATTTAAGGATACTCTGTAAAAATTTAATTCGTTCCTTTAAACGCTGCTAAACGATACAGTACGAGTCGAGTACAATGGGTGCTGATACCAACCTGCTATACCGAAGAGAATGTAGGAAAGAAGTAGTATAGTCGTGAGGTAAGACGGAATTTTGCATCCTCTCGCCATGGCAGTGACGACAGAGGGGTTAGCGACGGCGGTGGTCGCGATAGGCGAGGTTCGTGCGAGAGGATGGACGGTAGTCGTCTCGGTTCGATGGACCTCGACTTCGGCGTCAACGTCGCCGCTTCCGCGAGATCGCCGATCATAGAATTGATGAAGACGAGGATGGAGACGGTCGAGGCACATCTTGTCGTTCTCCTCCTCTTCGTCGTTACCGTCATCATCACCGTCGTCATTCTTGTCGTTCTCGACGGCCTCGTCATCGCCGCTATCGTCTTCGCTGCTATCGTTGCAATCGCCGCCGCTACCCACGTCATCGATGTCCCTTCGATGGTGGTATCGTTGACGCGATAATGAATGACGATAACTACGATAATGACGATGACAGAGACAAGGCGGCGAATGACAGTAGCCACTGGCGATCACGCTGTCGTCGAAGGGAACTTTGCTCCTCGCTACCATCAAGCTAATCTCCTCGACCGATATCTCGCTCGCCTCGTAGCATCCCCTATCGTTGACCTCTCCTTCTTGCGTTTCCTCGGCAGCGCGGGCGACACCACCTGGGCCCGAACTCTGGCGCACGTGCCACTGCTTCCCTGAAACCAGATACCCGTCCGGGCGGCCGTTTATAATGTGTTTTATCTCGGGTGAAGACTTCGGGATCTAGCGAACCCCACCAGGCCCCACCGGGCCCACCAGGCCTGATGACAGGCAGGATGGGACGGCTGTTGGGCCGCGGCTGGATTCGCTTTTCAACGTAAAGTGCGCTCCTTTCGATTCGATCGCTTGCTGTCGCTTTATCATCGTATTATAATAGTATTACAATATATAGTTTTGCATGGTTTTGATTCTTTTTTTAGAAAGAAAGTGAGCGCGCGTACGCGCGCGAGAGAGAGAGAGAGAGAGAGGAGGCAGAGAGAAACAATAAAAATCTATCAAAAAAATGTAATTTTTCCTACATTAAGTTCAACTTGAATACGATATTATGGTCAAATATATTATGATTATAGAAATAGATAAGGCGTTGTCTATTCTCAAAGATGCAAAGTAATGATGCTTGTATTTAAAAAATTGACCTTTTGTTGATTTTTTATTAGTCATATTTAGATTCGATTTTTTTATTGGTCCTACTGTCATATCATACACAACACAGCACTTATCTAATTCTATCATATTAAATATGCAACATCAATGCGGTTCGCAAAAGACAGTTAACGAACGAGTGTTGGTTCGAAAAATTGTGTTGGTTTGAAAAATTTCGATCGAAAGATATGAGCCTTGAAAGCGAATCAGTCCCAAGAAGTTATTGACAGCGATGAGTCGTAGACTTCAGCGGAATAGCCGATACATGCCAAACTGTATGATATATCATAGAAAAACTAAACGTGCATTACTCAACCGTTTCTCATCACGAGTCATTGAGAAAATGGAAAAGTTAGATAAATGGGCTCTCCATAAACTAAAAAAATATAGCAAAGAAATACAACGTGTCGATTGAAAGTTTACAATTCTTTTATCGACTTCTCGTACAAGACAAAAGGGATTCTTTTTTTTTAGAGATTGTGCGTGTGACGAAAAATGGATTCTACAACAATTGCCGACTCGCTCAATGGCTTGCTGAAGAAATAGCATAACAAAGCGAACTTTTCACCTAAGAAAGAGTGGAATGGCTGTTGGTGGTCTATGTTGGTGATTATTCTCAACTTTTCCTCAAGTAAAATAAAAGGGGTAAAATAAAAGATATAGAAATGTTGTGTAAGACATCAGAAAATGCAGTGAAAAATGGTACATGAGACGATTAGTAAATACATATACATAAATACATATAAATATATACATGGCGTTATGTTGCTTCATGACGATACACGATCACACGTCGCCGCGTCGCAACAACTGTCATAATATTGAATTAGTTGTAATATGAAACTCTTCTTCATGTACCATTTTAGTCGAAAGTATCTTCTAGGAATTCATCGCTCTTTTCCAGAAATTCAGATTTTATAATGAGTATATAAACGCATTTACATAACATATTGAGAAAGGTATGTTGTATTTGCTAATTTTAATGAAATAAAATTTATGTTAAACGAGATTCATTATGCAATTCATTATGAAAGTCATCAGTTTCATTAAAAAATTTCACATGAAATGTGCAATAATTTAATAATATGAAATAATATTTATATTTATGATAAACAAGAGTTATTAATTTTAACTCTCATTCTTAATAATCAAACAATGCATATATTGAATGACAACAGAATGAATATTGTCGATGTTTTAATGTATAATATAAAAAAAAGAAAAGTTTTGCTAAAGTGTCTAAAAAAGCAAGATATAGATCTAAAAATAATTTTGTTGGAACATCAAAATAATTATGTAGAACGCTTAAACGGTAATGTCAATACTGCAAAAAGTTTTAATATTTTAGCAACCAGTTTAAACATCCCATAATGAAGTTGCTTTTAGATCTGTATGTAGTTCAATTTTTAGTATATATATATATAGACTATATAGAGCACATATAAATGTAACAGAATTATCAAGAAAAGATACAGAAAGAATTGATAAAAAAATATACGTATATATTATTAGGTGTTGGAATTAATTCGTAGCGTTTTTAATGAAAGAATGTTATTTATTTCACATGAGCATTAAAAAATACATTAATGAAAGTACTTCCCATCTCTTGTAAAACGCTACGAATTAATTCCAACACCTAATATATATACATATTATGGCAATTAAATAAAATCTGTTATACGCATATTGTTTCTGTGTGCAAAAATGTACAAATTTATTCTCGGCCCTGCCTTAAAATCAACTATAACATTAATATAAATTGTTAAGTTCCGACCCTGTTTGGGATATTTAAGACCAACCTAAGAACATTAACATTCAATTATACAGTTAACATAACTTCAAAAAATAAGTGAAGTTTGTGCGAAATGAAATGTCGTTTCAGAAAAAATCTTCATAATTATATATCGTGTTTGAAATAAAAAAAATGCCACCGAAGCAACAAATTTGATATGCTCGGTCTTCGCAGAAGATGTGTTTCGTATGTTTTACACAATTCCGCAAAGGAAATTTCTATTTGTTGGATGAAGTTCGTTCTGAACAGCCGAAAAAATTTGAAAATCAAGAATTAGAAGATCTATTAAATGAAAATTCATATCAAATGTAATCAGAACTCGCACAAGCTATTGGAGTAACGTAGCAAATTATTTTGGTACGGTTACAAAAGCTGGAACTAATCCAGAAAACGTGTCGGTAGGTTCCGTATATGCTTACAATAATGCAGACAATAAAGAGAGATGCTGTGATATGACGTTGGATCTTTGCTTTTATGTTTTAAAGGAAAAGATTTTCTTTATAGAATGATGACTAGCGACGAAAATCGGTGTTAACAATCCGAAAAGAACAAAATCATTCGATCTGGCGAATTCTCGAAAGAGGCTTGCCACAGGCCGATAATTGAGTCATTATTCTCACTTTACTCACTATTTTGAAGAAGGTTCACTTTGATTACTTTTTCAGGGGGAAAAAAAAACTCACTATTCTCACTTTTTTCCGATAAAATTGTATTATTTCTGTGTTTACTATAATTTCTGTCTAACAAAGGTATACATTTTTTTAAATTTTTGCTGCGTGTTTTCATTCCTTTTTCTGTGAATAGATTTGAATAACAATATGACGATAAAAAAATAAGAGTTGATTCTTTAAAATACAAACGTATAAAAATTATTAATAGGAGTTAAATACATACATAATGGAAAACTGAGTATATTATTACATGTTTCGACTCTTAGATTGAGCAATCTTCAGATATCCTCAGGTATCCTCCTCTTCATACTTAAAATTAGTTACCATCATCAGAAATAAAAAAAACCATTATAACGTGTTTCAACTTGTGTAGCGATTCTGATGAATGGAAGACATCAATTACTCACAACGATTTGCTGACCGATTGTTAAGAATTTATGAAGATCCGTAAGAGATCGCAATTATTATTTCGTAAGAAAAATACATCGTCGAGATTATTGTTAAAAATATGTAGAATGTAATAAAAAATACGCCAGTTAAATGGTGACAATAGATATATTTAATAGGCAGTATAAGTGAAAACTATGTCTGTCGAATCTTCCGGAGATATTATTTGAATATTGTTAACGGTAAGGCTGTCATCATTAGATTTGAATGATTTGATCTCCTGCCATATATGGTAGCGGGATTCTTTTACTTCACATTACTGATTATTTAAGGAAAGTTTTCATTCAAGAATTTCATTATAGTTTACAGTTATTCCAATTCACATAAATAAAATCAATTTATTGAGTGCTAATCATAAAAAGTGTTATCATGTTGCCATATATGTACTTGTACCATGTAAGGTAATAGCTTTATAAGTATGAAAAATTTATTAGAAAATGTGATATTACTTGTGCAAATGTGTAAAACTTATTGCACTATTATATTGGGTTGGAGAAAAAATTCTATGGAATTTTTAACTAAATTATATACAGAATATATTTTGATGCGAAATTTTCGATTATATGACATAAAAGCTTAAGGTTTTTTTAAAAAGTTTATTTCGTTTTAAAAAATGTTTCTACAACTTTTTGTTACCAATAAGTTTATAAACGCGGATTAAATAAAAAAAGTATTCTGATTTTGATTGCTCATAACTTCGTTAAAAATCATTGTTTTAAAGCTGAAACTTTACTATATCGAATAATATCATGCTAATTTTTTAAATGTAAAATATATAGAAATTGAGTTATAAAAATGTAATATTACTATTGTTATGATCATTATCAATGGTTATAAGGACAGTAATACCATTTTTAGCTCTTTAAATTTATATACCTGTATTCTATTTTTTTTAAATTGGCAATTATATCACTCAATAGAGCAATCGTTTTAGCTTTAAGAGTCTGCTTTTTTTTTAAGTACGAGGCTTTTTAATGTGTTATGAGTTATAAGCAATCAAAGTCAGAATGCTCCTTTTTACTTAACTCGCGAATAACTCAAGAATAAAAAATTGTAGAAATATTTTTAAAAAACGATTTTATAAGAAAAACTCCAAACTTTTACGATATAGATAATTGAAAATTTTCGCAAATTTTTTTTGGCATGTAACAGACACACAAAGTGAGAAGAAAAATTTCTCTTTTTTTCAGCTCGTAGTTTTCTATATATAAAAATGTCAAAATTCACATAAATTAAAAAAAATATAGTCACTATTCAAAAGTAGATTTCAAGCTTTAAAATCTTTTTTTTAATTTAAATTTTATTTATTTTTAACGAGAGAAGATATTGTATATAGATTAGGTGTACAAATTAATTTTCGATCTTTTTTTAAAAATTCAATTTTATTTTTAAAATAACTCAGTATTCACACAAAAAATTTTATTATGCATTTAGTGGGATTACAAAGGCGTATACACTACGAGCTATTAAAATTGAGTAAAAATTGTTTTATGATTATTGCTTAACGTTATCAAGATCAATTGATCCGTCTGAGGGACGCTATTGAGAAAAAAAGACCTTATCGACAAGTGATATTACTTGCATGATAACGCGAGCCCACATG